GAGGATGAAAGAGCAGCTGAAGAAACCCGTAGCCACAGAAATGTTGTGGTGCAAGGAGGGGCTTTTGAAACTGAATTAGTTTTTTTTTCCTAGGAATGGATATGGAAGGAGATTGGTTTGGGGCATAGAAGCAGGGTGTGGGTGGAAAGTGATAAAAGGAAGTGATCAGTGATGGCCTTATTTGTACTGATACACGAGGAATTGTAAGACCACATGAGATGTCAAGGTGAAGGGGGTGGCTGCGAATAATGGCTGTGGCATTAACATAGAGGTGAACTCAAGAAAGGAAACATGAGCTGAGATGGATATTGCAATCACTGAGAATGAGACATTGAGTGCAGAGCCTGAATGAGGGAAGCAGTGAAGATGTTTTGGTGATTACAATTTCACTGTCGTTGGGAAGGCAGTACAGAATGATGATTTCAAAAGAGAGGCTTTGGTTCAGTTTGAGAATTTTTTAATCTGATGGTCGAGAATTTTCCCTAGTTATCTCACCTCTTTTTATGCAGACAATTGATATTGGACCACATTTGTAAGGGAGTCAGCAGTTCGTACATAATTCATTCAGCTGGCAGTCCTTGATGGATGAGACGAGACAGTGAGCATCAGTGTATTGGTAAACATGCAGCCATCAAAGCCAAAGCTGATTCTTTCCCCACACATCTTCACTTTGCAGCAGAAATCATGATCTCTGGCTGATTTTATTTTCCTCAGTTCAGTCCAACTGTGAAATCCATAGCCATGTAGCCGTGTTTGTTGCTGCATTTTTACATCATAAACCTGGAAATAGAACATAGAGTACAGCACAGGAATGGGCCCTTCGGCCCATAATGTTGTGCCGAACATGACGCCAAATCTTTTCTCTTCAGGGGCTTTCCCAGTCCCTTTTGAAAGTTCCATTGCACCTTCCTTCCCCACAACCTTTCACACCAGATCCTAAGTATTCACTGTGTTAAAGGTCCTTCCTCATTTCATCACTTTTTTTTGCAATTCCTTAAAGCGGTGCCATTGGGGTTCTTGACCCAATGAGAACAATTTCTTCCTATTTAATCTGTTTAGAGTCCTCATCATATTGAACGTTTCTATCAGAACTCCCCTCCATCTTCACATCTAACAGCAGCACCCCCAGCTTTTGCAATGTATCCAGGTATCTAAAATATTTAATCCCTGGAGCTATTGTGGAAATTTTTTTTTGCACCTTCACTAAAACCTTCACATCCACCTTAAATGTGGTGTCCAGAGTTGAACACAGTAGTCTAGTTGAGGTCAAACCAGTATTTTATAAAGGTTCAACATTCCTTGAAAGTAAAAACAAAAGCAATGGGAGCTGCAGCAAACTATTTAGCCCTCGAGCCGACTCTGCTATTCAGTGCAGTTGTGACTGACCTTCTATCCCAGGTGTCCCTCCCTGCTAATTGCATTCTTAGATTCCCTGAGAGAGAGCAAAGAAATCTGTCAATCACAGTCTTCAATATACCCTAGGATACAGCATCTATAACCCTCTAGGGAAGGTAGTTCCCAAGATTCACAAACACCCGGTTAAAAACTTCCTTATTTTTGTACTCTATGCCTCTATTTATAAATGCCAGGATCCCACATCCTTCTTTAAGCACCTTCACAACCTGTCCTTCTGCCTTTACTAAATTGTGCACAAATACTCTGGGTTTCTCCATTATTGCTTCCCATAGAGAATTCTGCTTTCACATTTTATTGCCCCTCCCCATTCTCAGCAAAATGTATTACTTAACAGTTTGCTGCATTAATCTGTCACCTGCAATGTGTCCATCTAGTCCATCAGTGTAGGTCCTTTAGAAATCTTACAGTTAATACATCTAAGTTTATATTTCTAGAAAAGTAATGGGCCTGGCAGTGACATTCAGAGCACACCTCTGTATACATTGCTCTAGACCGAATAGAAACTATCCTGTTTCCTGTCATTCAGTCAACCTTTTACTGCCAAGTCTATTATGTGGCACTTTCTCAAATGTCTTTTGGCAGCCTATGTACACCATATCAACTACATTTCCATTGTTAACATTATCAGTCACCTTTAAAAAAATGCTCAAATCAATTATTTAAATGTGAATTTCTATCTCAGTGACTGTTAACTTTCTTCTGGATTATTGTTTCTAAATGTTTCTAGCACCAAAGTGAATTTCTGTGTTTATCCTTACATCTATTTTGAATAAAGGGTGTAACATTTTTCATTTCTGTGGTCCTCTGCTGCTTCCCCTATCTATGGAGCATTGAAAGATTATGTTTAGTATATTTCTACTGTCAACGCTTAGTCTCCTAAGATTTTCCCTTACACTTCACTCAGTCAGGTCCTGGTAGCTTATCGACTTCAAGTACAACCAACCTTTCTCATATCTTCTCTTCATCAATTTTTAGCCATCTGTACTCACACTACCTCCTCTTCCAGCATGGCAAGATCCTTCCTTGGTAAAGACAGTATTCATTTAATCCCTCAGGTATGCCCTTTGCCTCCATTCATATATCCCTGTTTTTGGTCTTTAATAGACCTACTCCTCCCCTTGATACATTTTTATTAATTATATATCTTTAAAGACTTTTATATTGACTGCCAGATACTTCTCATACTCTTATTTGTCTCCTGAAAATTATCCTGAACCTTTCGCAGAAACTCTTTTTCTCTGTCCCTTTCAGTACAATTATGTCAAACGATTTGGATCAATTAAGTACCCTATTAACACTACTCTATAGCTGTTGCATCTCTTAATTTCCTTGTGAATTTACTGCTCTGTAGGTGTTCCACAATTTGTTGGTCTTTAGAGCGATTTACCTCTGTTGTTTATTAACTGTAACCAAACAGATTCAGTCCGTGACTTCTCCAGAACATTCTATTTCTCCAGCTTTGTTTTATCTTCCTCAATACTGTAATATGCCTCCTCCTTTCTTTACTTCCTATTCTTTTCTGTCTCCAGAATATTGTGTTCTCTGTCCAACCTAGCTTGAGCCAAGTCTCCTATATTGGCAAAACATCATCTTTCCATGTGGCTATCTGCACCTGCAGCTTATCAACTTTGTTTATTACACTTCATTGATTAATTCAACAAAACAAAATCTGTAATTAAGAGTCTAATGATGACCATGATCCATTGTCGATTGTCAGAAAACCCCATTTGGTCCACTAATGTCCTTAGGGAAGGAAACTGCCTGGTCTGGCCTACATGTGACTCTCCAGACCTACAGCAATGTGGTTGACTCTTAAACTGCCCTCTGGGCAATTTGGGATGGGCAGTAAATGCTGGCCTAAACAGTGATGCCCTCATCCCTGCAGGTATTAAAAAATATCTTTGAACTTAAAATCAGTAATATGGACTCTCCTTTCTTCAGATTTAAATTTCTGTTAGAGATTTCAAAAGTGTTCAAATTTTAATTTTTTGTCTTTTCAATTTCATTTTCTCTCTTCCTTAAGTCAGTTTTGGGTCCCCCCCCACCACTTTCTTTTTCTCTGCCTGATGCAGTATAATATTCACCCACTCTAATGTATACTTCCTTCTCCTCCTGCACTGTTAATTTTACAATCATTCGATCTGATTGAATATGGGCTACACAGTTATTTGTGCTGCTCATTGGGTTCAGATGTTCTCTTTCCTGGCAATTACATTATCACCTCAAATTTGAAGCACACAAGATCATTCTGAGAAAACAGGCAAAGTCAAATCTAACCAACAGTAAATGCTGCTTGTTGCTGGATTGAAGCAGATTATCGCTCTTCACTTAGAATTGTTTATTTTGTAGACATCTTCCTCCAACATCTTCCATCCTCTTCATCTTGCGTTACCCTGTGCCAGTGTAAAACTAAATGGACATTGCACACTTGTTGCTTAACGCAGTGGTTATTCATCATCTGTAAATCAATTGGTGTATTTCAGCAGGCGTTTTACCATGGGAAACAACAGGTCCAACCCTGATTCTGACCTCACATTCTGTGTATGTGAATCGGTGAATATTTTACAAGAAAGCAAATCTTAATTCCCTGGCCTTATCCAAAGTGATGAGGCCAGTTGTAGCTTCACTGACAAGTTCAGTTCACTCAGGACAGACTGGTGGTCGGGCTTAAGACCTCACTGATTTGTATGACCCAGCCGCTCATTTCATTTGCAAGCTAAACCCACATGAAACTCACTTGTTATTTTTCTGTTTCCCAACCAGGATTAAAATTGCAACTTTTCTCAGTAATTAATGGCATAAGGACAAACCAATTTTTTTTCAAACCACATGCTGCATGATTGTATTCTGCAATTTCATTAGACTATCATTAATTATTAAGAAGCAGATAATGTCATATTTATTTTGAAAATTAGATTTTCATCTAGCTCTCCATCTCAAGATGAAATATTTAATATTTCTGTTTCTGATGGATGGTTACAAGAAATCTTCTCTCAAAGCTGCACAGCAACCCTAAGCTTTCTGCACAGGCCAATGACAAATCAGTCCTTCAGCTGATCACATGACATTGTTAAAGATTCTGTGTCCTGAGATGAATGGGTGGCACATAAACACAAAAGAGTACATTGTTTGCAAGCACTGTGTTTGAGCTCTAAAACCAATAGAAAAGTTTGTGATTTTGTTTATGCATACTGTACTGATATAATTAAAGGAGAAATGTCAACTTTAATTGAGGAATTTAATGTATAAAATAAGATTCTTAACTGCCTGGGATTGTGGGAAGTTCGGGTATGCATTCCAGACAGATCCCATATTCTCAGCTTTGTCTGGCTACATTTCAAAAACATGTTTTTGGTTTAGAAATTAAAGACACAGATAAATGACTTCCGTTCAATAAATGGGGTAGATGTATAATTTATTGAACTACTTGTCTTTTTTAACCATCCAACTTGACACTGGCAATTAAAAATAAGGCAGTTTTTCCTGAAATCTATTAGTAATACGATGTTGAATTTAAGGCTTTAGTTTTAAATTCATGTAAAGAATTTTCTAAATGTTTCCTTCTCATTTGTAGACTAGTGAAGGAATCTGAACACCACTTCAGTTAACTATGGCGAGTGATGACAAAGTTGCTATCCTTTCTGATGATGAAGAGGACCAGAAAAGAAAATATATTCTTTCTGAACCTTTCAACACTGTGTCAACAGAAGCAAGGAATGAACCACCATCTAGTCCTATCCATTCAGAAACAGAAGCAACAGAAACAGAGAAACAGGATTGGCTAGAGAGACGCTGTATAAAAATAAGTAATGACCTTCTTATTTCCAAAGTGTTTTACTTCTTCTTTTACTCTGGGTATGGATCATTGTACCCATTGCTACCTGTATATTATAAACAGCTTGGTATGTTGGCCAGCCAAGGTGGACTTCTGGTGGGAATAAGGTATTTTATTGAATTCTGCAGTGCACCGTTCTGGGGAGTCATAGCAGATCGATTTAGAAAAGGCAAAATTGTCCTTCTCTTTTCGGTTATGTGTTGGATTGTCTTCAACCTGGGAATTGGTTTTGTGAAACCTGCCTCCATGAGGTGTGAGTCAAAGAATCCAGTGCCTACCACATCAGCTTCAAATTTCTCTACTCTTTCAGCGTTACCCACGACTGCATCTACAAACCACTTTGTCTCAACCGAGTCGAATAAAAGTCGGGTACAGAGGGAGACTTTCACAAGCCAACCTTTTGGATACATGGGTAATCTTAGCCTTTCATTTCCCTCGGTCAGTTCAGAAGAAAGTCATGTTTTACAGAAAAGAGCTGTTCCAAGTGCTGAGAATTCAACAGCAACCATAAATCCCAGCAGGACATTATATTTCACCACGGCCAGCAGTACATCCGCCACGACTCTCCAGCCCACCAAATTGATCACTTATGACTTGGCAGAAGTTGAAAATATTTTCTTACTAATATTGTTGGTGGTTATCGTCGGAGAATTTTTCAGTGCACCAGCGGTCACTATCGTAGACACTGTTACCCTGCAGTACCTCGGCAAACACAGAGATCGCTATGGATTGCAGCGAATGTGGGGTTCCTTAGGATGGGGCATTACCATGCTGGCAGTTGGCATCTCAATTGACCACACGCACATTGAGGTTTCTGTTCAGGGCCAGGGCTGTCAGATACCTGATTACAAGAATTACAGGATAACCTTTATTGTTTTCGGAGTTTTAATGTCCATAGCACTAATTGTATCAACCCAATTCAGATTTGACTACAGTCATTTAAAACCTGAGGAAAATAAAAGTAAAGAATTTATTGAAATTCAACGAGTGGCTCGGAATCCTTCAGTGGAAGATTCTGGAGTCACAAATAATGCTGAAGAGTCCAAGAGTACAGGAACGAAAACATTTGAATTTAGACAGCTCCTGAGAATAATTTGCAGTGTGCAATATGGTTCTGTGCTATTTGTGGCCTGGTTCATGGGCTTTGGTTATGGCTTTGTGTTTACATTCCTCTACTGGCATCTGGAAGACTTGAATGGGACAACTACACTTTTTGGAATCTGCTCAGTCCTAAGTCATGTATCAGAACTGACTGCTTACTTCTTCAGTCACAAGTTCATTGAACTGGTCGGTCACATTAGGTAAGCTGCTATATTCAGTTTCCCTTTGCCTGATACAGTACACAGTTATAAACAAGACTTATAAATGAGGCGACAAGACTCAGCCTGTTTAAAGACAGTAGTTTTGTACTGAAGGAAATTTATGCTCGAGGACTTCATTTGTCTGAGGCTAAACTGAAACCCAAAAGCAGTGTGATTTTTCAATCAAAATACTAATTATAAACAAATTCATAAACAGAATATTAACGTGTCCTGGATTTTCACTCCCAAGGTAATGTGCAGTGGTGGGAAATTTTCTGGCTTGCTGCCCCTGTCTTAGAAAGGTTTCACGAGGGGTTACATCATCGTTCTAGGGAGGGGATAGATGTCAGATACAGTTGGACTCGCTGCACCTGGATCTAGAGTGGAGGTATCCACAGGGACTGCCAAGAGCCAAGGCAGGGTGGTTAAAAGGTCTGTCTCAGTTCGCTAGAACTTGGACCCAGTTGTGTTTTTTTGATTTTAGCCCTCACCTCTCACACTCATTCATACTTAATCCATGCCAACATACTTAACCATGCACTCCACTCATCCCAATGGATCTTTGTACGACCTGTGCCAAGTTAATGCCAACTCATACCAAACCATGCCTTATTCACTATCCTTTGCTGTGATATCTTTCATGCCATTTCACTCAATATCCACCCTGGGCAGATGTCAGGAGCCATGCTAAGATGAAACAAAATGAAATTCTGAATATCTATTGCAGCCGGGCAGGATTAATACGACTAATGGTAGGGCCTGGGGTAGCATTTTAGAACCGAGGGACTAGGGGTTCAGGTACATAATTCTTTGAACTTTGCGTCACATACAGGGTAGTTAAAAAGGCATTTAGCACACTTGGCTTTGTTGCTCAGTCCCTTCAGAGTAGGAGTTGGGATGTCATAATGAGATTGTATAGGACATTGGTGAGGCATCTTCTGGAGTACTGTGTCCAGTTCTGGTCACTCTGCTATAAGAAGGACATTATTAAGCTAGAGGGTTCAGAAGAGATTTACCAGGATGTTGCTGGGTATGGAATGTTTGAGTTATAAAGAAAGGCTGGCTGGGCCGGGACTTTTTCACTGGAGTGTAGGAGGTTGCAAGGTGACCTTATAGAAGTTTATAAAATCATAAGGGGAATAGGTAGGGTTAATGGTCAGTGTCTTTTCCCTAGGATCAGGGATTTCAAGACAAGGGGGCATATTTTTAAGGTGAGAGGAGAGAGATTTAAAAAGACATGAGGGGCTTTTTGTTTACTCAATAGGGTGGTTCATGTGTGGAATGAACTTCCTGAGGAAGTGGTGGATGCGGGCACAGATACAATGTTTAAAAAGACATTTGGTTAAGTACATGAATAGAAAAGGTTTGGAGGGATATGGGCCAGGTGCAGGCAGGTAGGACTAGAATAGTTTGAGATTATGTTTGACATGGACAGGTTGGACCGAAGGGTCTGTTCCCTGCTGTATGATTGTATGACTCCACTATATAAAACCACTCTCATTCATAAAAGCCAAATACATTTAAAACTTCTCAAATACTTAATCCTTTCCAAAAACAAAAATTATCTATATCATCCACATGTATCAACATCAAATCCTTTAATGAATTCTTGGAGCTATTATTCTAACTGTGACCTAATAGTCTAACCACTGTGTCAATGCTAGATTGTGGAAAGGAGTCAAGCAAAAACAATACTATTAGGATTATACTTAAGGTGCAGTTCCAAATATCTGTTGAAATGTCAAGGACAGATTTATTTCAACTTACAGACAGAGACAGACTGTTTTCTTCCCCTCGAAAATAAGAGGACAAGGATTTAAATAACTTCTTAGCTTGACAGCTCCACAGATCTTCTCCACCCTTTTCAAACATTTATGTCTACCCCAAAAAATCGTAACCTCATTTACTGTTTGGTAAGATCTTCAGTTCAACAAAGATGGTGTCTGCTTGAACTCAACAATGGCCTTTTGGGATTTTGGTTTCCCTTATGTATCAGCCATGTCCTGCTTTTTATTCCCATAATGGTGAAAATGGGATTTTAAAAAAATAATGTTCTTGGAATATGGGAATTGCTGGCTAAACTAGAGTTTATTGCCCATCCTTAATTGCCTCGGAGAAGGGGATGGTGAGTTGATGCCTTGAACCAGCAATATGTTCTGAAGTCAAGATGTTGTGTGATTTGCAGATGTTGGGTTCCCACCCATCTAAGGCCCTTCACCTTTTAAGTGATACAGGTTGCAGTTTGAAAGGAGCAGTTGCAGTCAGTAATAGCAGTAGGATTTTTGGATCTGGGTTCCCAGCACCATTTTGGATAAACTGTGAAGTCTTCACAACTCCATGAAAATCTAGGCCAGTGTTGTTTATCTACATTGACCCATTGTGACAGAATGAACAAATCTCACAGAATTTACAACACAGAGAACGGTTGGTCTGGAAATTTTTGTTCAGCTTGCAGTAGCCCGCTCCAAAATGCATTTCTTTGATTCATTGGAGAGATTCTTTAATATCTGTTGAAAAATGTAACTTTAACAGCCAAAAATGGAAGGGTTTGGTTTGGGGGGGGGGGGGGGGGGCGGGGGTGGGGGGGGGTGGGGGAGCAGTGGTGGTGGGTGAGGAGTCACTAAAAAGCTAAACACTTGAATTGCTCACTTCCTGTTTTGATGAAGTCACGTAAAGGATTTGGTGAACAATCTCTAGTCAGGTGGTGATTGGGTCATTTAAATATACGTATGAAATTTTGTGGTCTCATTTTAAGAATAAGTCTAATTCAAACCACAATCAGCCTGATTTCCCTGGTGTCAGGAATTCCAGCTGACGGAAGAGGATAGGAGGCTTTAGAGGTGCCCCTACAGGCTCCCTACCCTGCAAGAATTAGTCAAAGGCCTTTATTGTCTTCTCCAGGAGAAGCAGGAGTGTTTTCCACAGACCAAATGAATTACTATTTGGAGCAAGGGCCAAGGAAGGAAATTCCATTGGAGGGAGAGGGACACAGTTAGATAGGGAGGATTTTATCTGGGGTTTCAGTCAAGGCAGGAGTTGGGCCCAGGTGTTGGACAGAGTGAGTGTGTGGGCTCTTGATCCTGGAAGTGCTGAGAGTGGTAAAGCCAGGGGCTTTGTGTTTGAAGGATTGCACATGCCTGACAGAGATCACATATCTTTGAGGAGTGGTGCAGAGCATTAATTGCTTTGGAGAAGAATTAGAAGTCTGTGTGGGAGGTGCATGGGCGTGGTGTATATTGGAGACCTGTGGTGAAGAGAGGTCAAATGTTATGTGCCAGGCCTAGGACCTGTGGGTGAAGGCTGTTGGTGTAGTGTGTGCTTTTGGATATGTCTCAGGTAGGTGTTTGGATCCAGGAGGTAAGTGCAAAGGTATTTATCTCCTGACTCCACCACCTAACTCTTGCCAGAGGTAGCCCAATGGTTGGAAAACCCAGCTAAGTGCAATTATTGCCAACTATATAAATGACAATAAGGTTAGCAGCTTCATTATCATACTTTAAACAGAGTGGATTGGGAACCCATTCCTGTACCAGCCTCAGGTAAAGACAGACAAATGAATAGTTTGGAGACAGGTTTGGGGTGGGCTATGTATTTCTTAGCCCTTAACTCTCCCAGTGATACAGAACTGCCCATTTTTTAACGTCAAACCTATGTAATAATACCATTTTCACAGATACACATTCGAGTCAGTGGAATTCAGTATAGGGTGCTGCATTTAATGGACAGCTGATTTGATCCTGCCCATTTTACACCATTGTCCCATTCTGCTCCTTATTCTTACTCAACAAAGAATGTTAATATTGGGGAGTGGAATGCTCCATTTCAGCTGTTCAGTGTCAGCATCAAGTACAGCTGTATCCTGAATAAAGTTTCCTCCATTATGCTCCAACATCGGTATTGTATCTCTCCTGCACTAGTGTAGCAGTTCCTTTTCCACATCTACTACCTTGTATTCTCTGTGATTGGCATTTCCAGTTTGTGCCATATTTACAGATAGTTTTGTGTTTTGGGCCTATTTTTGACAAGCAACTGAAATGGGACTGGTCAATGTAATTTATACTGGATGCTTGTAACCAGAAGAGACGGAGCTTGAAATAAATCTAAAGGCAATGTTTACACCACTGCTCCATGTGATCCCTTTGTGTAGACTATTATTATATGAGGTAATTTGTTCTTGCATTGATTATCTATTATGCCATTGGTACCTGGATGGGTCAGCTAAGAGATCCATCCACCTGTGACCAGACTCAGTTTGGTGGATAAAATCTATCTGCTAGTAGCTGTTGCTTACTTTGTCACCTCCAGCTCTCAGAGGACAGATGCACCAAAAAGAAATGCCTCAAGTACACATTTCATCTCTCTCATTAGTGTTTTAGATTTCAGAAATTGGGGTTAACACACTTGGATTATTTCCAGAGAAGCCAATGCTTTGTTGTTGACTGTTCTACTTCTGTTCCAGGGTATTGTACATTGGCCTGGCCTGTAACACAGCTCGTTTCTTGTATATATCTTATTTGGAAAATGCATGGTATGTCCTCCCCATGGAGGTGTTACAAGGTAAGAACAATGTCAAGAACATTTTGAAACCTTAACACACGGCAAAATGAAATAATTATAATGTTCTTCCCTGAAATATCAGCACAAAAGCTGTTGAGTAAAATGGTTCCTCCGCTTGCGACCATTAGATGAGCAGAAGTAGGTAAATTGAACCAACATTTTCACTTCTGCAGGGGAAGAAATCCTCCTTTCTTTCCTGCTACTGACTGACTATCTCATGTTTACAGAGCATGTTGCTATGATCTTGAGTTCACTGCCAGAAAGGGTGGCAGAAGTAGATTAAGTAATGTCAAAAATCACACAACACCAGGTTTGTTTGAAATCACAAGCTTTTGGAGGGCAGCCTCTTTGTCAGGTGCAGTGAGAGGAGAGCACACAGACACAGAGTTCATAGGCAGAGAGATGAAGGGCAGAGAGATGAAAGGATCATACAACTGGTGTGAGTGGAGTGAACAAACCTAAAATGGCTGACTGGCTGCCTCCTGTTGAATCTTTAATCATTTATACATTCCTGCATTCTAGAAATTGCAGAGGCAGGATATGGAGAACTCTGTTATAAAAGGAGATGCGAGTTTCAATTGATTAAAATGCAAATTCCAGAATCTGTTTCATGTCACTGCTCCGAGATAATTGATCAGTGTCTGCCTAACTTTCCAAACTTCAAGGCAGAGCGATAGGAATATACAAAAGGTGACATCTCCGTTCAGACACAGAATTGTAGGTGTGAGGCCTTGTTCAGAATCTGTCTCAGAGTTTTGATCTGGAATCGGACTGGTTTTATTCTGAAAGCAGGAATTTATAAAATGCCACACAGACTGTCTGTGACTACAAATTGTGTGTTCCTTGAACAAAATAGAACTTATCTGCAAATAAACAAACATCTCAGATGAAATGGTTCATCCCATAGGCATGTGTGTGTGTGTGTGTGAGAGAGAGAGAGGGAGTGTATGTGTGTGAGAGAGCATGCGTGTGTGTGTGTGAGAGAGAGAGCGCATGTGTGTGTGTGTGTGAGAGAGTGTGTGAGTTTGAGAGAGAGAGAGTGTGTGTGTGTGTGAGAGAGAGAGCATGTGTGTGTTTGTGTGTGTGTGAGAGAGAGAGAAAGAGAGAGTTTGTGTGTGAGAGAGAGTATATTGTGTGTGTGTGTGAGAGAGAGAGAGAGAGAGAGTGTGTGTGTGTGTGTGTGAGAGAGAGCGATAAGTAATCTAAAACTGTACAAACTAATTAAGGTAGAGAGATCATAACAATTTATCCAGGTGAAGCTGTCAAAACAGGACAGTAAGGAAGATTTTACGGATACAGAAGTGTGGTGGGGTCAACCAGTAGCGCAACATGAATCCAAGATCCCGGTTGAGGCCGGCCTCATGGGTATAGAACTTGGCTATCAGTCTCTGCTCGGCAATTCTGCGTTGTTGTGTATCTGAAAGTCTGCCTTGGAGCACGCATACCTGCAGATTGGAAGCTGAATGCCCTTGACCGCTGAAGTGCTCCCGCACTGAGAGGGAACACTCCTGTCTGGTGAGTGTTGTGCGGTGTCCATTCATCTGTTGTCATAGCGTGTACATGGTGTCGCCAATATACCATGCCTCAGGGCATCCTTGCCTACCGCATATGACATAGACAACACTGGCCGAATCACACAAGTACCTGCCGTGTATGTGGTGGGTTGTGTTCCCACGTGTGATGGTAGTGTCCATGTCGATGATCTGACATGTCGTGCACAGTTTGCCATGGCAGGGTTGTGTTGTCCTGGAGGCTGGGTAATTTGCTGTGAACAATTGTCTGTTTAAGGTTTGGCGGTTGTTTGAAGGCGAGAAATGGAGGCGTGGGGAAGATCTTGGCGAGATGCTCAACGTCATTGATGACATGTTGAAGGCTGCAAAGAAAATGGCATAATTTCTATGCTCCAGCGAAGTACTGGACAACGAAGGGTACTCTATCGGTCGTATCCTGTGTCTGTTTGAGGAGGTCGTTGTGGTTTTTCGCTGTGGCACATCAGAACTGGCGATTGATGAGTTGAGCATTATATCCTGTTCCTATGAGGGCATCTGTCAAATTCCTCCTTATCTGAGCGCAGGGCTTAGCTGTAGGGGCTGCTCTTTTTAATATATATAGGGTGGAAGCTAGAGAAGTGCAGCATCGTGAGGTTGTCCGTGGGTTTGTGGTAGAGTGAGGAAATGATATGTCTGTCCTTGATGGAGATGCATGTGTCCAAGAATGAGACTGATTCTGAAGAGTAGTCCATGGTAAGTCTGACTGTGGGATAAAACTTGTTGATATCACTATGTAGGTGTTTCAGTGATTCCTCACCATGAGTCCAAAGGGAGAAAATATCGTCTCCCTATTTGGTGTATAGTGTTGGCTGGAGGTCCTGCGCAGCAAAGAAGTCTTGCTCAAGCTTGTGTATGAAAATGTTGGCGTATTCGGGTGCAAATATCATTCCCATGGTTCTTCTGGATGAAGAACTGGTTGTCGAAGGTAAAGACGTCGTGGTCGAGGATGCAGCAGATGTAGGATGGCGTCTGGAAATTGGCAGTTGTTGGTATTGAGTACTGAGGCTGTTGCAGCGATGCTGTTGTGGGGGATGTTGTGTTGCAACAGAAGCTGTGTGTTCCTTGTACGATGGGTTTCAAGATGCCCTTGACATAGCCAGAGAGCTTCTCACACAGGGTCCCGTTGCCTGATACGATGGGACATCCAAGTGTGTTGGCTTTGTGTATCTTCGGAAGTTCTTGCGTGGGGAACCTGTGCTGCCTTCCGAAGATACAGCTTCTGTCGCAACACCACGGATTTCACAAAGAAACTCAGCACCCACAGATCAGTCGAACCAGGAACATTCCTCGTTACAGTGGATGTTTTGGCACTCTACACCAGCAGCTCCCAGCCTCCAGGACAACATCGACCACAACACCACACAACCCTGCCATGGCAACCTCTGCAAGGCATGTTGGATCATCGACATGGATGCTACCATCACATGTGGGAACACCACCTGCCACATACACAGCAGGTACTCATGTGATGCGGCCAATGTTGTCTATTTCATACACTGCAGCCAAGGATGCCCCGTGGCATGGTATGTTGGCGAGACTATGCCGACGCTACAACAACACATGAATGGACACTGTGCAACAATCGCCAGACAGGAGTGTTCCCTCCCTTCAGCGGTCAAGGGCATTCACCCTCCGATCTTCGGGTAAGCGTCCACCAAGGCGGACTTCGAGATATACAACAACACAGAATTGCTGAGCGAAACTGAGAGCCAAGTTCCACACCCATGAAGACGGCCTCAACCTTGATCTTGGGTTCATGTCACACTACATGTGACCCCACCACACTTCTGTATCCGTGAAATCTTCCTTACTGCTCTGTTTTGACAGCATCACCTTGATAAATTCTTATGATCTCTCTACCTTAATTAGTCTGTACAGTTTTGGATTACTTATTAACTGTCTCTTATGAACTCTCTTTCACATAATCTCACACTCTCACGCACTCCCTCTCTCACACAGTCTCACTCTCAAGCGCGCACACACACACGCACAGTCTCTCTTGCTCTCTCTCACGCATGCGCGTACACACACACACACACACACACACACACATATATAAACTTATGGGGTGAACCATTTCATCCAACATGTTTGTTTATTTGCAGGTACATTCTATTTTGTTCAAGGAACACACAATTTGTAGTCACAGTCCATCTTTGTGGCATTTTATAAATTCCTGTTTTCAGAATAAAACCAGCCTGATTCCAGATCAAAACTCTGAGATAGATTCTGAACAAGGCCTCACACCTACAATTCTGTGTCTGAACGGAGATGACACCTTTTGTATATTCCTGTCGCTCTGCCTGTTTGAAGTTTGGAAAGTTAGGCAGACACTGATCAATTATCTTGGGGCAGTGACTTGAAACAGATTCTGGAATTTGCATCTTAATCAATCAAAACTTGCATCTCCTTTTATAACAGAGTTCTCCATATCTGTTTCTGCAATTTCTAGAATGCAGGAATGTATAAATGATTAAAGATTCAACAGGAGGCGGCCAGTCAGCCATTTTAGGTTTGTTCACTCCACTCACACCAGCTGTATGATCCTTTCATCTCTCTGCCCTTCATCTCTCTGCCTATAAACTCTATGTCTGTGTGCTCTCCTCTCACTGCACCTGACGAAGAGGCTGCCCTCCAAAAGCTTGTGATTTCAAACAAACCTGTTTGATGAACCTGGTGTCGTGATTTTTGACGTTGTCCACCCCAGTCCAACACCAGCTCCTCCACACCATAGTTTAAGTAATAATGTCAAAAGGAGAACTTATAGTGCTTGGAGGGGAAAATACTATGTGGCTGTGGAGCTTAAGGCTATTTAATTAGATCTTCCAAAGAGCTGGCACAGGCACAACTGGCAGTGTTCCTTCTCTGCTGTATCTTGTCAAGAAAATACCTTCAACAAATTGCAAGCATCAGAAAAAAATAGAGATGCCGTTCATTCAATTGAAACCATAAATCTGATGGTTTTGGTTTTCTTGCTGCCTTAGAAAAGTACGCATTTTCTTTCAAATGTGTAAAGCAATGCATGTCTGAGCATTAAAACTATATATTCCATTTTGTAAATAAATCAAATCTTGAAAAGATTTTTCTTATATGCAGGCGTTACCCATGCATCTGTATGGGCTGCATGCATCTCCTATCTCAGTGCAGCTGTACCTCCGGCATTAAGGACTTCTACCCAGGGAATTTTACAAGGACTGCATCTAGGTTTGGGCCGAGGCTGTGGTGCCATGGTAGGGGGAGTAATGGTAAATGCCTTTGGTAAGTATTGACATGATGGATTTTTTTCCATTTTTCCGGTCTTGGCATTATCGATAATTGGGAGTGAGTAGCTCATTATTTATGTAGCAACAGCAGCAACTTTTTGTCCTCATTATCTTGCTTCAAGCTATGTTGAATATAAAAGCATTTGATGTGCTTCAGATAATTTAGAGGTAGGCATGTCATTTATTTTTAATAGAAATTTTAAAGCTACATTCACAAATTGAACAGTTAGTAAATATAATATTCAATGTATTTACAATTGTCAAGTCCCCTTGAATAAAACAAGTTTTTTTCATTTACTTTATGCTTCACTGAACATCAAGTGCTGCTAAATTGTCTTTTCTGATCTTTAAGAATTCTCCTCTGTTTTCTTAATGAAATTGGCTTGCCTTTCAGAGAATTTACATGTTGATGTTGTAGGATAAAATTGTTAACAGAACAATCTCGGCAGATTATTAACGTTTCAATTGTTAACGGAATGCATCTTTTCACTTCCTCTTCGTGACCATATTAGCGGACCACATTAGCAGTTGTTCAGTTGATCAGAAAAAGATTAACAGGCAACATGAGGCTGCTAAACTGTGAATATCCCACACTGCCTGACCAGAATCTATTTTAAGAAAAGGGAAGTAAAAATGAACAGGATCACTGGGTAAACAAACTGATCAATGAATAGGTGCACAAGCAAAGTCCCAGACATTGTACGTACCCAATTGGTGCTCAGTTGGAAAGTACCAGCCCAGTTAGTTTTTAAGATGTGATGAGTAGTGCCCACTGGGCTGGAGAGATTGGTTTCAGAGAACTATTTGACCCATCACATTGTGGTGGCTCACTGGTAGATTTTCAAAGGGCATGTCATTTATTTTGAACCTGATTACATTTTTTGAACATGACTAAAGTATTGCACAGGGAGATATGAATTCACTTGATCTTTGAGAAGACATGTGATAAAGTCCTTTATAAAGGTATGCCTACCTAAAATTGCTGCCCATGGAATCAAACGTGAATTCTTAACCTTGTTGGGAATTTGCCTGGCTGGCAGGAGACACAGTGTGTTCGGGGTGGGGGGGTGGTAACAGATAGATACCCTCACTGACAGGATGTGACCAATGTCATTCCGCAAAGAATCGAACTGGGGCTTCAACCACTCAGTACTTATTAACAACTTAGACAATGGTACAGAAAGCCACTTACCCATACCAAAGTTATTAAACAGAAGGTTCTATTTGCTATTTGCCATGATTCCATTGAAATGCAGAACAGTCTTGGGGGTGGGGGGAGCTAATTGACCTGTTCCTACTTTTACGTTCCTATCATTTAGATCCACTTTTGTGCTTTTTTCCTATAGCCCTGTGTTCATTTTTGTTATCGAGTATACATCCAATTCCTTTTTTTGAGTTACGTTAACTCTGCTCCCACTACCCTTTCCGACAGAGTATTCCAGGTCACGAGACAACCCCCACAGGAACATGCACGTACACAAATGTCACGGGAGAATGATATTGTCTTTAGCTGTGACAGCCATACATAATCTGATAAGTTGCTGATATAAATGGAAGAGATGCATAAATGAATTGTATGTGACTACAGCAATATCATTTGATACGGATTTCAGGTGCTCCACAAACATTCCGTGGAATTGGTATGGCCTCTCTCGTGATTCTCCTACTTTTTGCCTTGATCCAATGGCTAGCAGTGCCTGATGAAGATGAAGGTATTTATCACATGACAATCCTGATTAGCATTAAATTGAAATACTATTAGATAATATGTTCAAAACACATACAGTCTTTAATTCCCTTCCTCAGTTAAACTGTGAAACAAGTGGCCTCTCTCTTGACCGCTGGCAACAGCTCCAGGTGATAGCTAACAGTTGCTACAGGAAATAGTTTACTTCCTTCTCAATCCACTACTTTCTAGAGGAATTCAGGTAAAAGTAATGACCTGCAAATTCCTAAGCCCCAAACATCTAGCATGCGTGCAGTAGAGTGAAACCCAATCTCATGCCAAGCCAATAGTCCCTTCAATGTGTGCCAGTACCTATACAGGTACATCAATGGTATCTACCTCAGCCAAGCCATCCTTGTAAGGCAGATGTCCAAATGTATTAATTTTTTTTAGAATAAACTAAGCAACTTCTCTGGTATTTATCACTTTAACAAGGGTTTGAGTCCAGAAAATGGCCTTTAAGGAACTCATACTAGCACTCTAAAGAATTTCATTGAGGTTTTGCGGTGTGTAATGGAAGAAATTTTTCAGGAAATTCTGACACGTGTCCTGAAAAAGAATAGAATGAGATCAATTACAGCTCCTTAACAGAATTTTAATGTCTTGTCCAAATGAGTGTAATTCCTACAGAGTTGGGAACGACCCATATTCTGTCACCACTGCAGCCCACTTCCAAAAATGTCAAGTTGTATTCTGTTGCTGAACTAGAGTTTTAAGACTTAATGCCATACAGAATACTAAATAATCTGAAAACTGCTGTCCAATACTATTAAGGTCTATTTCATGTTCGGAAGTACATTTACATTACTTAAAAGTCTAAGATTGGAAGGGAAGCATTACAGTGAACTAATTGGGGTAAAAGCAAAATACTGTAAAGTTGAACTAAGAACAGAAATGCTCAGCAGCAGATTGGGCAACATCTTTGGAAGAGAGAAGCAGAGTTCATTCATCAACCTGAAACATTAACTATTTCTCTCTTCATGGGTGTTGTTTTTTCTATTTCTAGCATTTTCTGTTTTCATTAAGGTAACGAGTTGGCCAATGATATTTTCAGAAGTGTAACTGTGGTTAATCTAACTGCTGAATATGTGCTCGGCTGCAAACTACTAAGAGAGTGTTCTTCTGCACGTCAGCCAATACCTTTGTACTTAGCTTTAAACGTCATCCACTTCACCAGAGTGGTTAACCTGAATGTATGACAAGGAGTAAAGATTTTTGAGCAGAGTTCAACTACTGAAAATTACACAGAATCTACAGCACAACACAGGCTCTTTGGTCCAATTGATATGTGCCAGTATTTATGGTTAACCAACTTGAATGTTTATTTATGTTTTTTCTTCATATTCCTCTCACTTGAATTAGCTCTAACCTCTCTGCCCATGCATTTCTCTATTGCCTTCTCCCTCACAAATACATCAAATCATCCCATAATTTGGATCTGCTTTAACCATTCTAGATTTTAATAAAGTTCATCCTGAATTTGATCTGTTATTGTTTTTTTTACATTAAAATAATTAAAGTCTTTAATTTAATTATCTTGCTTCACAGTTGATGTACTTGCTTCAATACAATGTTGCTTATAAGTGGAAAGTTTAAATTTCTGCCCAATCCTCAATTTACTGAACGAAAGTTCAAATGGAGCCTTTTTATTTTGTCTCCTTTTGACTATTTAGAGAAGAAGATGCTTGCAGAACGGATTCCAGTTCCATCAAGTCCTGTTCCCATAGCAACCATCGATCTCGTACAACACCACTCGGATAGTACGATGCCCCACCTTGAAACCAAACGTCCTCTAAAAAAGACAAAATACCAAGAGGAGCAGGAAGATGTTACAAAACCTGCCTGGGCCATCAGCTCATCGCCATGGGTCACAATCGCGTTTGCCTTTTATCAGGTTATGGAGATGGTAAAGTTAGCGAAGACAAATGCAACTATTGAGCATCAAGTGCTACAGGTTAATTGACAATTTCATATTACAAATCTCACTCTGGCCATACTATAATCTTATAATTTTCTAGTTTACACTTGTGCGATGCTGAGTTGTATTAACTATTAATAAATACTCTGCAAAGATAAAAATTTTAGTCAGAAAACATTGAAATTTAGTTAGTAGTAATAGTTTAATTGTGCCTGTCTTCAAAATATAATGCCAAAGCTATCTTAAACTGCGTCTTTTGTATCTCCTCTGACTTTTACCCTGCAGCTTTTAACTGTGAATCTCTGGCACTATTCTTGGGCTCGCTCACAAGCTCTGATTCCTGTTGATTTCATTCATCTGTCATGTTTTAACATGGGGTTCCCGCACTGATCTCAGGCTGGCTGTCTTTACTCCTACCCTTCACTTTAACCTGTGGGTGACCTCTACTGTTCTCAAGACTTGCATACTGTGACTTCCCCCTTGACACTTATTAGTGTTGGACTCTGAAAACTGTTCTCTCTCCGCTCAACTTACTCTCACTCCAGTATTTTTAAAGTGATAATAACTAGTAACATTAATTTTGGAAATAATCCTTCCAGATAAACCCTCATCATTTATCTGGATCTAGCAATGATCAGCCATAGTTTGAATTCGTTTTTATGTTCACTTTAGGAGGAAAATGATTGTCCACTAGCTGCAGACACCTGGCCGGTTGGGGGCCCTGCAAATCTTAAACCATCACCCACTTCCAAGAAGCAAGAAAAGGTAGAAGTCCCAGTAACTACCTCTGAACCTGATGAGATCAGCATCAGCTCCACACAAGGCACTGAGAATGGATTGAACCAGTCAGATTTGCCTAGGAATTTAATGCCACTGCCAGGAAATGGGAAGCAGAACCTTGAACCAGAATTGCTTCAGCAAACAAGCACTGTTCAAAAAAGTCAAAAAGATGCCTCATGATGGTCAAATTTAAAGATTGCAAAGCACTTGAAAGCATTGAAAAAAATGGATTCATAATTTTCCGTGATGAATGTTTTAAAAAAGAAAGCACAGGAAAGTTTCTGAAGAATAGATCTGCAATATTTCCAGATCATCAATAAGACACTGATGGCTAATAGTGTAAATTTCAGAAATTATAAGGTTCTACAGTACATTTCAGTGTATTTAGAGCTTCAATAGCAGAATTTAAGTGCCTGTTCGTACATGAAGGACATAACACTGTCCGCTCAAAACATTCACATGAATTCTTAAAACCATGCATTGAAACGGTTTAAAAAGTAGCTGAATTGCTGAACTATCGGGATTATACTATCAAACGGAGGTGCAATTGCAGTACACTAAACGGCAATTAAGAAAAAGTCAAATGTCTGAGTGCAAATGGTTTTATCGCAGTGTAGTCAGTTCAGAATCTGAATTTCTAGAATCTGTATTAATTGGTATGTTGAGTTGGGATTATCAAGCAGAATAGCCACTGACGTCTGTCAGTTAGTCTGTGTTAAAATTAGCTTGAGGCATCTTTTGAGTAAGAGATCACCAGAGATTTCATTGTAAGAAGCCATCTTCTTTCAACAAGATGTTGTTTTAGTAGGATACATGGTCTGAGGGAGGAAAGAACTGAATAGTAAAGCTCACCTGTATGTTAATAGTTTTCTTAAGTTCAACATGTAGCCACTATTTATACCAGGATTCAAGAACCAGCCCAACTTTCATTTAAAATTTGTAATTTAATACATTTAAATTTCATCTCCAAGTTCCTCTGTAAATGTTGTGCAGGCAATTAAAGCTTGCAGTGTATTTTAATGGAGATATTTCTACTTTTAAAGATTGCCAATAGGGTACATGAAAGGTAGAATATTTTTAATTTAATTTAAATTATTTAAGCAAACTGGCTGAAACTAAACTATTAACCCAAAACTCAAAATAGAGTAATTAACAAGTTATTTAGCACTTCTCATTCACTTATGTTTGGACAAGGGAAAAAGGAAAAAGTTATCCAGTTGTAAAATGTCTACAGGTTATCTATTCTCACACAAACTCATAGATACCATGCTTCCAAATCTTCACATCATCTTTGCTTAAATGTAAACTTTAAATCTGTCACGAAATGTCTTGATGTACACCTTTACAGTAAAACTCAACTAAAGGTCAGGCTATTTTGTGTAAATCTGTAAAAACCCAACTCGGATGTATCTATGCATACCAAGCTTTTGAATCAGTTAAACAGTCAGCTATTTACAGTGTTACATTGCTGAGTCAGCCTGAGTAAATGAAATACAGAATTTGAAATGCAGGAGCTCTCCTGAAAATTTCTACTTTGAATTATACAATTAATCCTTGTTTTAAAAATGAAAAATTAGAGACCTACTATTAAATTGATCAACAAGTCAAGGCCAAACAGTATGGTATTGGCAGGGGTAGGGGTGCGGAATTGGGGTCAAAATTGAAAAAAAAAAGAGGAATTGGACTACAAGGAAAGTGTGGCATCTCTTATTCATTTTCTGATACCTGGCAAGAAGACACCCCATGAAACCTCTCATCATGCCATTGGTGGCAGTTGTGGGAAACCCACAGGCATTTCAAAAGAAATATGGTTTATTTTTAAGCTTTACTATTTTATCCAGGTCCCTTCTGAATTGCCTCCTAGGTATTAAAGACCTAAAAGCATAGCAAATTGTCATTATGAATTTTCAAAATTGAGGATGGACCTATTTTTGCTCAAATGTAGGGTGCTTCGTTGTGTTGTCTGTACAATTGTTAGTGCCTTCAATGTATTACAAATAGCACTATGTATAAAATATGTTGATTTTGTGTGGGCTCTCGGCTGGTGAAATTTTTAGATTGTTTCTAAACAACGTGGAGATGTAAATTATGTTACTGAATTGTACATTATCTTAGTGCTGAAAGAACTGCTTATATTAAATTTGATTTTATTAATAAAATGCTATATAAAAACAACTTTGTGATCACATTTTACCAAGCAATTTAAATTAATTGCAATTTTTAATAAAATAATACAGATATAAAGAGTTAGAAAACAAACTACTCTAAAATACCTTTGAATATTAAAGCACCGGTCTTGATGAAAAGTTAAAAACCCAGTCCAATCATGTACTTATCTTAGATTGGATACATCCTGGTATAGACAATTACACCAAGACAAACAAGATGATGATGGGGTATTAACTCAAAATAAAAGCACTAACATTGCATTAATAAAACCCTCGAGTTGTCCAGTCCATTGATATAAATGGGAAATGTTCTAACAATAGTACAGGAGTCCATTTCGAGTGCCTCCACATGAGGGAGCTCTTACCTCAAACTTCTTCAGAAGAATACCTGTTCCTTGTGCCCTCTCCTGAACTTAACAGCTGGTGCTGCAACTTTGGTTTAGCCAATCTGGACAAACACAAACTATCACTTCATTCATTTACAATAGGCTGGGTCTCGGAACAATATTCACCAGGTGGTCGTATTTTAATTAATAGCAATAATAAATTTATACATGGAATCCAGATGGTATTAACCTTGAGAGCAAGATTTATCATTGAAATTATTTTTTCCCCTTTAAATGCCATTCTTAACACTTCCACATACATTTAACCCATATAATCATTCCTCTACATTCTTCAAAGTCAGACACTAATGAAGTGTCTTGCACAATTAATGATAAATTCTTTTCACAAGAGATGTCAATAATGGTTTCTATTCAGCTAACAGGCCAGATGAAATGTAGTCCTATTTACTTGTAAATAATAAAATATCACTTGGGAGTTAAATTCCAACTTAGACATCACTTCTAACAAAAACTACAGGATATACAGACACGATAGATGAACATCTAAAGTTAAAATATGCTTGAATAAGCTCAACAAGTAAATAGTTTTTTTTCCCCAAGAATAATGAACTCTCACAAAAAGAATAATGTCATGTAAAAAATATTAATATTTACATAAAATGTTCAGGAGTGGGATCTTGTGTTACTATTTTGCATAACAAAAATTCTGAGTTGAAAACAGGTGAACTTCCCAAACAGGACATTTTGGGCAAATTATCAGCAGAACACCTACATCAAACTGACTGTAATCTGAAAGACAGCTTCATAACAGAGTTAAAAAGATATTTTGAGCATTATTTGCTCAAGAACTCCTGTGAGATTCCAGTCTTTTTTTCTACGTGCATTCTTTTGAATGAAGAATTCCATATTGGAAAAAAAAATCTTCATTTTTTTGTTTGTCTCTACGCCTCGCACCAAAAAAAAATTAAACATGCTTGAAACTCCACAATCACAAAATGGCTTTTGTATCCACGATACTCCACTGCAGGCTTCCAGTCATTATGAGGCAAAGTGCTTGTCCCCTGGCAATGAATAAAATTTGAAAGCAAATTCTGCCTGTCGACACAGAAGCAAGTACATTTACATAAAATAATCCTAATTCAATGTTCACAGGTCATTCAATACCATTTGTTACTTTGCACTGAATAAAATGGCTACAAGATCGTTGTGACTTCGAATAAATCCCATTTCAAATTAATTTTCATATAAATCTTCAGATAAAAGCAGCCCTTTTTTAAACCTGAGTTGGATGTAGAATTAAACAAAATTACACAGTACAGCTCAACTGAAATCCGTTTTGTTAAAATTTGCATACTGAAGTCAGTTGCATGATTAATATTGCATGTTTAAACACAATAATTATCTCACATATTCATCTAATCACCTTTGCTTCCACAATTTAAAAAAAAATGTTTATCCTGGACAAGGAAACAATATTTGTAACACAATGATTTAAGCAGAATACAACACATATCACAATTAACCTAACCTCCAGTTTGCACCTCAATTCCACACAACTTGTTTTCTATATTTGTCATGTGGAGCTGCTTGTTACACAAATTGAGGGCAAGATGGTCTGAACTGCTGATTATAACCAACCCATCAATGCAGCCCTACAATTAACTGCCTGAATGTTAGTAATAAGAACATCAGATGCCTGGTTTTCCTTGTTGCTTTATCTTCCATTTTCAAAGACAGAAATTCTCACTCAGGGGAAGTAATCTAGCAGTCACTGTAGAAAGACCACAATCTCTTCCTCTGAAGCCATCCAGTTCAGATAATGTCATTTTGGTGCTTGAGGTGTAGATGGGCCTCAGTGCCTCAACTTCAACCAAAAGTCTTTCAATAATGATAGGGTCCATTGGTGTAGTCAAAGACTACTCAGGCTGAACTATACCTATTCAGTGTAAACTTTTCCTTAAAAAATACAAACTCTGTGTAATCATTAAGCAGCTCAATTCACAGGTTCCTTGGTCTCTGTGCATTCAGTTGTCAGAGTTATCAGAGTCAGTAATGATAGTACTCAGACATTTCAAGCTATCAATTTTGTGGTATTATCCAGTTTCTATTCACAATAACAGTTGAAAATATTAATTAGATGTCAGTGAAGCAAGATCAATTCATTATCACAGCAACTTCACGTCCATCTGCAGCTGCCATTTCCCCATTCTCAGAGACTGAAAGATTATTTTCTTCCCTGACAAAGAGTTGGGCTTCCAAAAATGAACCTCCAATTCCGTAGTGTTGCTCATGGTTCTGCATTTCCTCTGATGTAATATGATAAGCTCCTAGGATGAAGTCTGCAAGTCTGCAAATTAAATGGAAAGCTGAACAGGAATGTCCATATAGTCATACAGCACAGAAACAGACCCTTCAGTCCAACTAGTCCATGCTGACCATAATTCCAAACCAAACTTGTTCTGCCCATCTGTGCCTGGCCCATATCGCTCCAAATATTTCCTATTCATATACTTACCTAAATGTCTTTTAAAAGTTGTTATTGTACCTACATCCGCCACTTCCTCTGGAAGTTCAGTCCACACATGAACCACTTCTCCGGAAAAAAAATTGCCCCTCATGACTTTTTTTAAATCTTCTCCTCTCACTTTAAAAATAAGGCCCCTACTCTTGAAATCCCCCACCCAAGGGAAAAGACCCCCGCCATTCACCTTATCAATACCCTTTGTGATTTTATAAACCTCTATAAGGTCACACCTCGACCTCCTACGCTCCAGTGAAAGAAATCCAAGCCTATTCAGCCTCTCCTTATAACTCAAAGCGTCCATTCCCAGTAACACCCTGATAAATCTTTTCTGAACCCTGTCCAATTTAATAATATCCTTCTTATAACACGGCGACCAGAGCTGCACACAGTACTCCAGACGAGGCTTCACCAACATTATGTACAACCTCAACATGACTTCCCAACTCCTATAATCAAAGGTTTGAGCAATGAAGGAAAGCATGCTAAATGCCTTCTTAACCACCCTGTCTACATGTGACGCAAACTTCATTGATCAGATGTAACAGCAAATTGCTACATTTTTGAATCAGATGACTGAATATGAACTCGGCTTTCATTTTATAGTGAAATAGTAAATTCAGCATTTTTTAGGGATAGGTAGCAAAGAAGATGACTGCAATCACTACCAGTGATTGCTGTGGTGAGTTTTGTGGCAGAATTGGAATCTCCAAACTGATTGATTCTGCAAGTGAGAGGCAAGAGAAAGGCAGTTTGAAATTACATGAACAAGAATGGCATGCAGTATTATGCACAAGATATATTAGTAGCATTTAATACCAATTTTGGAATCATCCACTAAACAGTTCTCCATTTTCAAATGGTTTGACATAGGAAATGTGTTCCATTCACACAAAAATAACATGGCATGCCAGATAATTGTCTTCAAAGGCTCCCAATAAATTGATATGTATTAGAATGAACAGTGACTTGCATTCAAATTTATGACATGCAGTGATGTCAGTGACTGGAGTAAGGCAGAGTAAACATGCAAATATCTGCTTGTTCTGACCTGGCAAATATTACTATTAATACAACAGGGTTAACAATAAGTAATCTGAAGAGAAAGGTTTACTAGTATAGAAGTACCAGTTGCAGAAAGTTACATTTCTAGGTTTCTAATCTTTGTTCCAGGAGCAATATTAAAATAAATAATCTGAATTAGTATGATAAATTGCCCTTTTGTCAATGTCAACCCACAATACTTCACAGATAAACAGTTGGTTTTGAAATGTAGACATTGATTTCTAGATAAATGCAGCAGTCTAATTCGCAATTACAGGACTGGCCAACTTTTGTACTTTTGATTGAGGGATAAATGCTGAATGGGATAATGCAGTGTTTCTCTTTAATAAAATGCTACGGAATTTTTAAAATCAAAATAAAAGAAGTGCAGATGCTGGAAATCTGAAACAAAAACAAAGTGCTGGAGGAACTGAGCAGGTCTGACAAAGGATCAGAGGCCTTGAAATATTAACGTTGTCTCGCTCTCTATACAGATGCTGCCAGACCTGCTGAGTTTCTCCAGCAATTTCTGTTTTTATATGGGATTTTTAACATTTGTTTGAGCAGGCAGGATTTCAATTTAATAAACATGCAAAAGAAAAAAATACAACACAGCACTCGCTCACCATTGATATCACATTACTTTCGATCTCACTTATTTTGTCCCCACTTTTGCTGAATGCATCTACGGCGAGTTCTTTTCCCATGGAATCCCTACAGCGTGTAAGCAGGCCATTCGGCCCATCGAGTCTACACCAACCCTTCTGAAGAGCATCCCACCCAGACCTAGCCCCCTACCCTAGCCCTGTAACCCTGCATATCCCATGGCCAATCTGCCTAACCTACACATCCCTGGACACTACATGGAATTTAGTATGGCTAATCCATCTAACCCGCACATTTTTGGATTGTGGGAGGAAACTGGAGCACCTGGAGGAAACCCACAGAGACATGGGGAGAATGTGCAAACTCCACACAGTCACCTGAGGGGAGAATCAAACCCGGGTTCCTGGTACTGTGAGACAGCAGTGCTAACCATTTCAACTGCACCACGTACCCTTGTGGGTATCAGCCATGTTCCAGGCACGCGAGTCTCAATTAAAGTTGACAGCTCATTGATAGGCATGGGGTATTACAATTAGGCTCTATCCTGTCCTCAACAGATACTACAAACATAATAATCTCTGCATAACTTCCAATTTCACACTCTATCGAGTACAGCTGAATGCATGGCTAGAGAGATGGTGTAGGGTATTCAGACCAATTTTGGGAGAGGTGGTATAATCACTGGACTGTTAATCCAGAAACCCAGATAACATTGTGGGGACCTGGGTTCGAATCCCACCATGACAGCTAGTGGAATTTGAACTCAATAAAAAAAAATCTGAAATTAAGAATCTAATGATGATCATGAATCGATTTTCAGGAAAAACCCATCTGGTTCACTGATGTCCTTTAGGGAAGGAAATTGCCATCCTTACCTGGTCTGGCCTACATGTGACTCCAGACCCACAGCAATGTGGCTGACTCTGAACAGCCCTCTGGGCAATAAATGCTGCCTAGCCAGCGATGCCCTCATCCCGTTAATGAATAATACAAAAGTAAAATGTGGCTTACGAAATGGCAGCTGAACATTCCTGATTACAACAAAGACAAATTTGCTGGAAAAGCTCAGCAGGTCTGGCAGTATCTGTGAAGGAAAAAACAGAGTTAACGTTTCGGGTCCGGTGACCCTTCCTCACAGCGTTCTGAATTTTCTGAAGAAGGATCTCGACCTGAAATGTCAGCTTTCCTGCTCCTCTGATGCTGCTTGGCCTGCTGTGTTCATCCAGCTCTACACCTTGTTATCTCAACAAGAAAAAGGTCAGTTTTGCACTTAGTTTTAGGGAATGATGGAGGCAGGTGGAAGCAGTATCAGTGGGGAAGGATTTCACCAGTGGTGATATTAGATTTAGTGTAGTTATGGGAAGAAATAAAATATTGACCAAGAGTAATAGTTCTAAATTGGAAAATGGCGAACTTTACTGAGCCAAGACAAAAACCAAAATTGCTGGAAAAGTTCAGCAAGTCTGGCAGCATCTGTGAAGAGAAATCAGAGTTAACATTTCAGGTCTGGTGATCCATCCTTAGAACCAGACCCAAAATGTTAACTACGATTTCTCTTCACAGACGCTGCCAGACCTGTTGAGCTTTTCCAGCAACTTTGGTTTTTGTCTCTGATTTATAGCATCCACAGTTCTTTCGATTTTTATTTACTGAGCTGAGATTTGACTCAGCAAAGTGGAGTGAACACTGCTACTTGATACAATGTACACAGGCTTTAATCAAAGCTTTTGAGAAGGCCCAACATTACAAACTGATGGGATACAGACAAAATTGCAGATTAAATCAAAATTGAATTCAGTGGCAGGAAGCAAAAGTCAACAGTATTTTATGACTGATAGGCAGTTGTCTAGAGTCCTTCGAGGAAATAACAGGCAGAATTGATGAAGGGAAACCACAAGATGTAGTCTAATTGGATTTCTAGAAGGCATTTGAGAAGGTGTCTTGTAAAGGGTGATTGCACAAGATATGAGCTCGGGATTTGGAGTAAGGTTGCCACATGGATTGAGGATTGGTTAACTCACGGAAGACAGTGTCAGGATTCACTGGACTTTTTCAGGCTGGAAAGACATAACTAATACAGTGCTTCTTTTTTTAAAATTATCTATATTAATGATTTAGAATGAGGTCAGAGTGTCATCTATGCAAATTTGCTGATCATACAAAACTAGTTGGGAGGGCAGGCTTAAAGGGATAAATGTTCTACTCCAGCTCATATTTCTTACATTCTTGCATGCAAGTGAATGCCCAACTGGCCGTACGTAAAAATGCATAACTAAGGCAAGTAATCTCTTTGTACAGGGACAATGGTATGACACTACCTACCTTTTTGGAGAACTGACTTTAGATACGATTTCCCATGTAGGAAAATCCTGACCCTTGCAGTATCTACGGAGTTCCTCAAGAGCCTTTATAGTTGCCACTTCACTTTGATCTTTGTACTCTTCTTCAGTGAGGAAGCGAACTTGTCGCTTCTTAAATAATCGTTTAATTTTTCTGCAATTATAAAAGCGAGAAGTTGTCTTTCTGTTTCAACTAAACATGGTTAGCAAGCGCTTCTGTCGCACCACATTGTGCAACATGAAACATGCAAGAATAATCCTGGAAAACATTGACACAGACATTAGAGAGCTCCTTGGAGGCAATTTAGAAAGCCCAACTTCATTTTTAACAATGATGGTCTGCTCTAAAGTAGTCCCTGTGAAACTTTGAGATTCATCATAGCACGTCTCAGATAGAATTCAAAGGGTCCTGACCAATGTCATCAACTTAGTCATGAAAGGTGGCCTGTATCACCCAGAAGTCATTGATGTGGCCCGAGAGAGAGAGGGCACAGGCTCCTGGGGGTGCTGAATAATGTATGCTCAATGAACATTTCCATTAGAGAGAAATGCACATCTGGAGGTTATGTCTCCTGTGGTCACACAAAAAATGCACATCAATAGAGTACAGCCCTTTACATTGGATAAAGGTTACATCTTCACCCAGCGAGCTTTGATCACCATATATACAGGAAGCTCACATTGTCCACAAAGCCCAAAAGACGATAAGAAAAAGGAACAGGAGTAAGCCATTCAGCCCTCAAGCCTACTCTGCCATTTACTAGGATCATGACTAATTTGACATTCCTCATATCCACCTTCCTGGCTTTTGTCCATAACTTTTGACTCCCTTACTGATCAAGAATCTGTCTGTCTATCTCAGTCTTACATATACACAAGGAGAATTTCCCACAGCTCTCTGTGGCAATGAGCTCTAAATACTCTCAATCCCCAGTGAAGAATTTCCTCCTCATCTCAGTTTGAACTAGCACCCCCTTAATCTGAGACTATGCCCTCTGGTCCTACTCTCCCATGAGGGGAAACACGCTCTCAGCATTTACCCTGTCAAGCCCCTGATAATCCCATATGTTTCAATGAGATCAGCTCTCATTCTTCTAAACTCCTGTGAGCAGAGTCCCATCCTGTTTAACCTTTGCTCATAAGACAATCCTTCCATACCAGGGATCATCCTAGTGAGTCTTCTCTGAACTGCCTCCAATCTACCTACTTTTGTGTCATCTATAAATTTGGTGCAATACATTCACTTTCTTCCTCCGAGTCATTAATATATATTGTAAACAGTTATGGACCCAGCACTGATCCCTGTGGCACCCCAGTGGTCATAGGTCAGAAACCTAGAATAGAGGTTTCTTTATTTTCACTTCCATTTTCCTATTGTTGAGCCAATTCTCTACCAATACCAATACACTACCTCCAACATCGTGGCCTCCTGTAATTATGACTTAACCTTTTTTGAAATACCTTGTCAAACACCTTCTGGAAGTCCAAATACAACTCATCTACTAGTTCCCCTCTATCCACTCTGGTTGAGACTTCCTCAAAAATCTCTAATAAATTAGGCAGACACTTCAGTCCCTTTCGAGAAGCCATGTTGACTCTGCTTGATTAGACCCATTTTCCAAATATTCTGCTATTATTTCCTGAATAACTGATTTCAAAACTTTTTCAAGAATAGATGTTCGGTAAATCAGCCTACTGTTACCAACTTTTTGCCTCCTTTGCTTTTGGAATCAGAGTGTCATATTAGCAGTTTTCTAACCTTCCCTTGGGTACTTCTCCAGAATCCAATGACTTTTGGAAAATTACAACCAATACATCCACTATCTCTGTCGCTACCTCTTTTAGGGTCCTAGGATGCAAGGCACCAGGGCCAGGGGACTTATCTGCCTTTAGCACCATTAGTCTGTCTAATACTACTTCTCCAGTATATATCTTTTGGCCTGGCTCTCCGTATCCATTCTGAATTTTACAAACTCTCTAGCCTTCTTAGAGGTAATTTCTCACATCTTTGCTGCAGTGATGTGTGACTCTCTACGAGATTCCACACTGGAGCCCTGGAAGAAGCCACTGGTGGAGAAGTTTAAGGTTGCAGTGATTTTTAAAGCCATTGATACTGCACACTCTCCTCCAACCCACACCTATTCCAATGGATTGCAAATCTTTCTGGGGAGGTAGTAGCATATTGGTAATGCCATTGGGTTAATCCCAAAAGCCAGGCTAATCTTGTGGGGACTCAAGTTCAAATTCTACCATGGCAACTGGGAGATTTTAAAATTAAACTAGTAAATCTGGAATTAAAGCTAGTCTCAGCAATGGCAAACATGAAATCATTGTTGACTGCAGTAAGAACCCATCAGGTTTACTGATGTTCTTTCGGGGAGGAAGTATGCCATCCTCACTTGGTCTGGCCTACGTACAAGTCCAGACATACAGGCACATAGTTGATACTGAATTGTTGTGGCCTGGAAGCAACTAGGATCAAGGGTAATTGGGGATCAGCAACAAATGCTGGCCTTCTTAGAGACTTCCACATCCTATGTAAGACTAAAAAAAAAACATACAGGCCCAGTAACTGCCTCTCTAGGCATGCTCAGCCATCACTGATTCTGCCCTTCCGACATCTTCAGGCATTTAAATCAAGAGCAGACTCTGGGGAGTGCCATCGATCTGTGCCATACTGGTCCCTTGCTCGCTCTCTCCTGACCACAGTCAGAATCTGGTCCTACTGTTTAAGTGTAACTAGCCCGATCTGCCCTCTGTATCATTGCTCCTCCACCCAAGACTTCAGGAACAATGGTGCAGCACACTCATTTTGTCTCCTAAACTTCAACAGAGGCATAACCTGGCAAAGATGTGTCCTCCAACAATGATCTAATCTACAATTAAAAGAAAAACCTTGTGCCTATGGGCAAATGAGTTCTTACACAGTCATTAAGCTCTAGGACTGCAAAACCCACTTCCGCTTGTCCACTTCCACTTGGTCTTGCCCAAGCTCAGCCATGACCTCCCTCAAAGATCAGTGTCCTCCTCTCAGTCATTTTTAATCTTCCGGATTAATACTTCACCTTCCCCAAAATGCTTTGCCGTATCCTCAGCCCTCTTCCAAGATGATCTCAGACATGTTATTAGAATTTTAAGCAACCTGAAAAATCTAACTGTACCTCCCACAGATGTTGCCTGACCTGCTGAATATTTCCAGCATTTTTCCGTTCATGTATTATATTGAAAAGTATAGAGATAGGAAGCACAGCAGAAATACAAACAGATCAGCACACTGGCAACACTGCTAGTTTCTCAACTAGGCACTAAAGCCTGATATCAAGGATGTTACTCCCAGCCTGACTTCTGTGTGAAACACTTTTCAACGGTGTTGTTTTGCACATTGAGGCAGGAAAACCCGACACTATCAATTTTTCCACCTTCCAAGTTTGTCTTCAGATCACAGAATCACCTTGTGGTGGTAAGAGTAATCATTGTTATAATTGTGGTCATAATATGCAATTTCTATTTAGCAGAGAAAAAAAATGACTGGGTTTTTTGGTGAGGAGGGGAAAAGAGGTAAAAATCCCCAGCATAGTTACAGCTGGATGTCAACAAATACCCAATCTATATACAAGAAGTAAATTTATTTTTTGTTCTGAGCTTTGTCTTTAAAGCTTCCTAACAAAACATTGAAAGTTGCTACAGTGATGGAACCAACGTTCCCTGTAAATGATCTTTGTACTGCGGTGGGGTGGGGTGGGGGGAGAGGAGTTGACAGTAACCTGTTTATTTTAGCGCATGGTACTTTTTAAATTGCTGCATGGTCAAGCAGCATGCATCTTCGACAGAAATTAGGAATGAACACCTTTTTACTGTTTCAAATGGGGGAGGGGAAAATATCCCTTGGAACAAAATGAGCTGAAAAAGTCACGTATTCAACTTCAGCTGAAGTGACTCAAAAGCATCAATGGAAACACCAAACTGACCATTTAGAGAGTGCACATTTAATCCAATCAGCTAGAGAACGTGTCAATTAATAAACTTTCTTAATGGACAATGGGTGGAGATGTAGACCAAGTGGGTGGGTTCAAAACAGCGACACCTTCAAATAATAAAAGCAAATAAAGATGATCTGATTCATCGCAGAAAGCATATAATGTTCCTGCCTGCAGTGCCTACTATAACCAGTTTCTACTGCATGAGTCGTAAGTACACTCCCTTTCTTCAATATGCCAATCCTTAACACTAATATCGATTCAAATCTCAATATGCAGATTGTGCTTCACGATTCATTTTTTTGGATGCCCCAGAGCTGGTTTTTTGCTATGAAATATTGTACATATTAAACACTATGTTTTACTGGTAATACTTTGTTCACTTCAGTTTTAATTGCATCACAGCACCATCTACAGGAAAACTTCATCTATACTTACTCAACTGTGACTTCATGAAGCTTTGTGCATGCATCAGAAATTGTACGAAATTCATTTTATTGCCAGATGCATTTGAAGTTTGTAGGGATATATGAATGTAGAGTACTGCAGCAAAAGTAACTGATAAAAATCCTTAAAATGGATAGCATTAGGCTTGATCAAATTGCAAGTCACTCAGTGTAAGGTTCACACTTACATAAGATACTGAATAGAACCTGCATCTGTGCAATCATTTAATTCTGAGTTGTGTCACTGCCTCCACGGAATAGAGAGGGAACTAAGTCATAGAAGGGGAATAATTATTTTACTTTAAGTGAATTACATGAAAGCATCTCTTGAATACAACCGATGATCGAATTAACACAAAATTATTCGAGCATGTACGTCAAAATACAATACTCAGTAGAAATCAGTTGACATTTCTACCCATTGAATGGACTTATTTGCACATTTTCACACGTGCAGTAATATCAAACAACTGAATGCGAGACATTAAAGTAAATACTAACCTGTAAATGTAGCGGATCAAATTAATTGGGTGGTGAAGGTTGCTTCCACACAACAGAATTATGATGACAGTATAGGCACACTGACTGAATGCAACACCACAGTATATCAACACTGATGCTACAAACTGTAGGGTCCAGGTGAGCAGTTTTATACTGTGTTCATCTGATAATGGCCTGTGCCTTTCGCAAATAACATAACTAAGGCAACTAACCACAAAAAGGTAACCTATAAAGGGCAGGGTAGAAGAAACAGAAAAAAAAATATTAGAACTGGATGACCAGCTAAACATTTTTAGACTGATTAACTGATACAGATCCATTAAAAAGTTAGCAGAACAAAGAAATTAAGAGAAATATTTTGCTGAAGAAAAACAACATGCTATTGATGATTTTCATCTGGCATTCTCATCAGAGAGAAAATATCAAATTTCAAAGTAAACAACAATTTATATTGCATTAGAAAAGGATACTGATTAGTTAAGATATTGTCATGAAGAATGTACCAAAGATATACTGGTCTCATTTTTTTACTTCAGTGAAGGTACAATAACAAAATACGGCCCTTTCTTTTGCAAAACATAGGTCCCTGTGGTGTTTTTTTTTTCCAATTTCTACAGTACCAAACAATTAAGTAATACAATATATTTGATTACCAACTATCTTTTGTGTAAATACAAAATTTACAGGTGAAAGCTACCTGATTCACACTGCTAATATGCAGTAGCAACATGGGTGGGGTTCACCAATAACAGGATGCTGCTGTCAGCACTGGAAGCTACATTTATTAATGCATAGGGCTTTGTTTCTTGCAAACAGAAAGAATGTACGCAACATAGGCAGTAGCCACATTCTGGTTCAAATTTCAGGGCAATGCCCTGACCAGAGTCAACATGCCAGGTTTGAAATCTAAACAAAGCCTGGCAGTTAACAGTCAATCAACATTCACTGCTGCATTCTCATGGCAACATCTCTAAAATGGTCCACCTTGCCAATCAATCAGCATTCTCATAGCATATTTGTTGGTTTTCCCCTTTATTGGTATTCTTGTGAACTGTCCTGACAAATGCAAGACAAAAAGTTTGACAAAATTACTTTTCCGTAATACTCAAATTCTGTACAATTAATTAACCAATAATATTACAATTCTGCTTACCATATAAATATTTCCTGTATTGAGATTGATTTATAAGACACAAATAAATCAGAAATGCAGAGGTTGAAAAACTTGCAATCATCAGCAACAAGGAAGTTCTTCTCTATAAAATGAAATTGCATAAATAATATTAAATGGAAAAGAATAACTGATTTAACAACATTAGGTCCATTTACATATCTTTCCATCACATACACTCCCCTCCACAATACACAGCAGAGACCAAATCAATTTCTGGAAAAATTAAACTATGCACTTTAAGCTTAACACCATCAATCAGATTCTCCCAAAACTTAACAACGAGTTTCCTTCAAGAAAAATAATAAACCGGTAAATATTTTAAATTAAAAACAAACATATTGTACAAAGAGAATACCATGGGAGAAACTAGTAATATATACATATTAAAACTACATTAAAAAAAAGAGGTACTGCTATCCAAATCTGAACTACAGATATGAGTGTGTGTTTAAAATCTGATGTTTATTAAGTAAATCCTGCTTAAATAAACCAATACTTTTTACCAAAAAGTGACGAAGTGTTAGATTATCAGCTCCTATTTGTAAAAATAAGGAAGTACAGGTGAAGTCTGTGGCTGATCTCCTTCAACCAGCTGTGAGTACTTCTTTTCTCCCCATTGCTTGATAACATTTTAATTGCAGATTGATCAAGCAGGAAACATTATAAGAAAATAACGCCAATGTTACTACGATTGACAGGAAAATATTTGCATACAAAACATTAAAAGTCAAAACCCCAAGATGAAGATGCTTTCCAGTTGAGTGACAAAACTAATTGGTACACTGCACAATGTGTTTCCTTTTTACTTAAGTTGGTTTAGATTCATTTGAATTTGTTTTTCCTGGTTTCAGGTAGAGACACCACTATGAAAGAGTCAGAGTTATACAGAATGGAAACAGATCCTTCGGTCCAACTCATCTGCACTGACCAGACATCCTGAACTGATCTAGTCCCATTTGCCAGCATTTGGCCCATATCCCTCTAAATCTTTTTTATTCATGTACACATATTGTAATTAAATATTGTAGTTGTACCCATCTCCATGACGTCCTCTGGCATACATGCACCATCCTTTATGTAAAAAATTTACTCCTCAGGTCCCTTCTAAATCATTCCCCTCTCACCTTAAACCTACGCCCCCTAGTTTTGGAATCCCTTCCCAAGGGAGAAAGACCTTCCACCCTACCCATGCCCCTCGTATTTTACAAACCTTTGTAAGGTCACCCCTCAGCCTCCAATGATACAGGGAGACAAGCCCCAGCCTATTTAGCCTCTCCAAATAGCTCAAACCCTCCGTTAGAGACAGACAAAATGCAGACTACAATCAGGAACAATTTAGATAAAAGTTAACTTAAAACTTGAAGAGGAAACACTAGTTCCAACTAATTTGAACATTAGGTCATCAGCTAAGTATAGAAACAACAGAATTGGGCCGTTTAGAGAGCATTCTAATCCATTGAAAACGCTACCATGTCACAAAACTGGATAAGAAATATCTTTTGTTTCTACCTCCCTCGTGCTCTGGAAATAGACATTTTTATGATCACTAAGATGCATATATTTTGGTAACAGTTATATAGCATGTGTTTTAGTTCCTCACATGTGAGGACATGCATCATAATTCACGGCTACACAACATATACCTCATTTATATGGTTCTGACAAACAATCATACTTCCTTATATTAAATTTAAAATAAGCAGCATATGTATTCACTAGAGACATAACCTTAAAATCAAAGATGGTCAATGTGAGGGTGATATTAGCAAGCACATCTTCATAGAATTATAGAACGTTATGGAACAAAAGGAGGCCACTTGTCCTTTCACATCTTTGTTAGCTCTCTACATAAGAGATTAGTAAAAATTTGATGCTCTTTTCCATTAAAAGGCTGTTAATGGTAGGTTAATTGCAAATACAAAAACAAAAACAAATCGATAGATTTTTGGGAGTCAAGTGTGTTACGGTTTCCGAAGCAAAGGCAGAAAAATATCAGCTGTGATCTAATTGAATACCAAAAAGGCTCAAGTGACTGAATGGTCCATGTTTCTCATGAGTCACCATGTCCTTCAGTCAATGAAAGGATGGCAGTGCCACAACATGCAGTGTGGTCTAGGAGATGTCAGATGAACAAATACTTTGTTCAGTCTTCACCATAAAAACATTCCAGCAATATCTGTTAATTCGGAGGTGCAGGGGAGAGAGGAACTCAGTGAAATTACAATCATGAGGAGATAGCAGGAACTGCAGGTGCTGGAGTCAGAGTCAACACAGTGTGGAGCTGGAGGAACACAGCAGGTCAGGCAGCATCAGAGGAACAGGAAAGTTGATGTTTCAGGTCAGGACCCTTCCGGAGAACTCTCAGAATCACCAGCTCTGATGAAGGATCCCGACCCGAAACATCAACTTTCCTGCTCCTCTGATGCTGCCTGACCTGTTGTGTTCCTCCAGCTCCACACTGTGTTGACTCTTACAATCATGAGGGATGTGGTACTTGCAAACGGACTGAGCTTCTGGCTGACACATCTCTGTATGCTGAGGGACTTCATCTTGGGATCTTAAAGGAGGTGGTTAATGAGCTAATAGATGCATTGGTGCTAATTTTCTAAATTCCCCTCAATTCAGGAAAGGTTCCATCAGACTGGAAAGCAACAAATATAACCCCTCCATTCAAGGTGGAAGGGAGGCAAAAAGTATGAAAGTTTAGGCTGGTTAGCTTGATGTCTGCATGGAAAAATTGTTAGAATTGATCATTAAAGAGAGTATAGCCTAGCACTTAGAAAAACTCAAGGTAATCAGAAAGCGTGTGCATGGTTTCATCCAAGTAAAATCATTTTTAACCAATTTATTGGAGTATTTTTTTGAAGGAGTAGTACACACCATGGATAAAGGGAGCATGTAGAGGTACTATACAAGTATACTCTACTATACTTATAATATACATAATCCAGTGGCTTTTGATAAGGTGCTACATCAAAGGTTATTGTAGAAAACAAAAGGTCATGGCATGGGGGCACATATTAGCACAGATGGAAAATTGGCTGGCTGGAAAAGAAACAGAAAGTTAGAGGTCTGAGCTGGGGCCTTGTGCTTTTATGATTTACATGAAGGATTTAGATGAGTGGAGTGAAGGCATGGTAGCTAAAATTTATGTAGAACATAGAACAGTACAGCACAGGCCCTTCGGCCCACGATGTTGTGCCGAACTTTCACCCAAAACCTAAGGTCTATCTAACTTCCACCCCTACCTTATACTATCATCCATATGCCTATCTAATAGCCGCTTAAATGGCCCAATGAGGCTGAGGCCACTACCCTCTCCGGGGATGCATTCCACGCCCCGACCACTCTCCGAGTAAAGAACCTACCTCTGACGTCTCCCCTATATCTACCTCCACTCACTTTAAAACTATGTCCCCTCGTAATAGCTACCTCCACCCTAGGAAAAAGTCCCTGGTTGTCTATTCTATCTGTACCTCTGATCATTTTGTACACTTCTATCATCTCTCATCCTTCGCCGTTCTAAAGAGAAAAACCCTAGCTCTCTCAACCTTTTCTCGTAAGACCTTCCCTCCGTTCCAGGCAACATCCTGGTAAATCTCCTCTGCACCTTTTCGAACGCCTCCACATCTTTCCTGTAATGAGGCGACCAGAACTGGACACAATACTCCAGATGTGGCTGAACCAGGCTTTTATATAGCTGGAGCATAACTTCACGGCTCTTGAACTCGATCCCTCTATTTGCAGACAACACCGGAGATTGATAGGAAAGTACACTGCGAAGATGTAAGGAAGTTACAGTCAGATATAGCTAGGTTGAGCGGGTGGCCAAAAATCCAGCAGATGAACTATAATGTGGGAAAATGTCAAGTTTTCACTTTAACGATAAGAACACAAAAGCAGAGTATTATTTAAAGGAAGAGTAGTTGCAGAATCCCATGATGTGGAGGTAACGAGGTGTTCTAGTGCAAATCACAAAAGTTACAATGCAGGTACAGCGAGTAATCAAAAAGTGTAATGAGATGCTAACCTTTGTTACAAGAGGAATTGAACATTAAAGTAAGGATGTTATTCTACAGTTAAATAGGGCATTGGTGAGACTGCATGTTGAATACTGTGTGGAGCTTTGGTCTCTTTATTAACGAAAGGAATGGAAATGCATTGGATGCAGTTAGGAGGCTTACCGGATTGATACCTGGAATGAATGGGTTGACTACTGATGAGACGTTAGACAGGCTGCATCCGTTTACACTGGAGTTTAGAAGAGTGAAGGGCGACTTAATTGAAGCACAGAAGATCCTGAACAGCCTTGGCAAGGTGGATAAGGAAAGGATGCTTCCTCTTCTGAGTCAGTTCAAAACTAGGGGGCACTGTTTTAAAATTAGAGGTTGCTCTTTTAGGCAAAAATGAAAAGAATTTTTTCACTCAAATCATTGTGTGCAACTTTAGAACTCTGCCTCAGAAGGTGGTGAGACGGGGGTCTTTGAATATTTTTAAAACAAAAATGGCTAAATTCTTAGATAACAAGGTGTAGAGCTGGATGAACACAGCAGGCTTATTAGGCAGGTAAACCAATGGCTGTTGGAGGTAGATTGGAAGATGGAATTCAAAACACAAACAGATTAGCCATGATCTTACTGAATGGCTGCATAGGCTTGACGGCACAAATGTTCCACTCCTGCTTCTATTTCATATGTTTATATGGACGAGATCATCTGTGCTGCTGAGAAAACTGGGTATGTGAAAGGAAAACAGATTAGGCAGATGTTATGAGGTTAAGAGTTTCTTACTCGAATTATTCTTTTACAGATGTGGAGAAGGAGGACTAATGGTGCAAAGATTCCCAGAGTAAATCCTGCACAATAATTAAATAATTCATTCCTGCAAGACGAAAGAGAGATCAATTAAAAATAATGATATACGGTTTCAACAATTTGTAAAACAACTCATGTTACAGGAAACTCGGGCTCTTGTGGTAAAGTGCCAGTGCCCCTATCTCTAGGCCTGAGGTCCCACCTGCTTCAGAAGTGTGTCATAACATGTCTGAGCACCTTAATCAAAAGTATGTGTCACAGGAAACTCTTTTCTTTAGCCCCACCTTACCACATAAGCATTTACTTCAATATTTCAGAACGCAAGGTAACTAAATATTTTCAGTCATGGAAATGCACATCATTTAATATTTATACAGGAAGTGTGCAATGTAGCAAATTTAATTCTTCAAAATATATCTTTCTTCCCAATTATTGTTTCAATTTCTTTTATGATTTACGAAATGACTATGAACATTGGAAATCAATCATTTTTGGTTTAGTGTTAGCTGGTTGAAAATAAGGATAGCACTTGCATTAGGGTAACTAAAGGTAATGAATCCACTGAACTGTGGACACTTTTGTATTACAAGAAGATTAGATGCAAGTACCTGCTAATGGATTTTGCATAAACGAACAGGATTATTCCAGCCACAAACTGAAAAATCAGCTTTGGTTCGAATTCTGCAAGAGATACAGGTTACATCAAATTTAAATTGCTTGGGTTTTCACAGTTGATTATCCAAACATCAGTGCATTTGCCTCCAACACCCTTTTATTGTGGGGATATAGTTTTCTTTTCTTTAAAGCTGCATTGTGCTGTTGTTCCTGAAGAGGAATGCCTGAATTCTTCACAGAAGAGTATGAGAAAAAAATTGAAATAGCTGTGTGGGGATTGACGAGTCAGCCAAATACAGGGACATACTCTGCAACTGAAGCAGGAGCCCAGTGCTGTTATTTGTACAATGCACACCAAAATATAAATGGAAAGAATTGAAAGGAAACCAATGAACTAGATTTTACAGGTTGCTGTATTCCAGATTCTCCATGAGCTTACCCACTGAAAAGCTGGCTGTCCTGGAGTCATTTTACACTGGGAGCAGCGATAACTGTGCAAGGGTCAGGATGCCCACCCCCTTCTCTCTCTCCTGCCTTGTTTGTGTCTTGTATAGAACATTTGGCTGGATCCAACAGGAAAGGTGTGAGCCTGAGAGGGGTGACTATTCCAGGCAGCGGAGGCCAGCAGGTCAAAGCTTCCCAGTACATGGATGATGTCACCATATTTTGCTTGGTTTTGCAGACTCTTGAGCATCTGCAACCAGTTTGAATGGGCCTTGGGAGCCAAGGTAAATCGATGCAAGAGTGAGGCCATGTTCTTTGGGAACTGGGCCAACCGATCATCTAACTCATTCACAATCAGGACAGATTACCTGAAGCTGCTGGGAACATGGGTCAATGAGGCTGGGGTGTGTGCAAAATCTTGGGAGGAGCCAAGGTGAGACAGAAATTGGGCTTTTGGGTGTATTGCTCCCACTCTATTTGGGTAAAAACCTGGTCATCAGGCATGAGGCACTCTATCTGTTGTTGTACGTGGCGCAGGTCTGACCCATTCCCAGAACCTGCACCACTGCAGTCACCCGTGTCATCTTTCACTTCATCTGGAGGTGTAAGATGGACTGGATATGCAGGAACACCATGTACACAGGTTGAGATAAGTCGGTGGGGGGGGGGGGGGGGGGGGGGGGGGGGGGGGTGGTGTGGGGGATGCAATGTATGTACCCAATGTTGCCCTTATCCTGCAATATCAGAAATTGCTGGAAAGCTCAGTAGGTCTGGCAGCATCTGTGAAGATAAAATCAGAGTTAACGTTTCGAGTCCACTGACCCTTCCTCAGAACTCCCTTATCCTGATGGCCATCTTTGTGTGTGGCTGCATCATGCTGTGAGTAGACTCTCTGTACGCAAACACTAAGTGACACCACGTACTAAGGTTCTACCTGTCCCCAGTGTTGCGAAGGATGGGACTAGCATCATTGCCCCATGGAACGTTCCAAATAGTTGGACCATTCCTTATCACCTGTTCTTCATGGAGAAACTTGTAAAGAGAAACACCTTTGACCACAAGTCCATCAAGAAGCAGTCAGCACACAGTATCTGTGAGACCCTGCGGGAAAAGGAGAGAGTGGATCCTGTTGGGATCAGACTGTCAAAGTCATTTGGCAGAATGCCTTAACACCAGAACTTTCTGACAAGCATCAAAACATCATATGGCTGGTGGTGAGAACAGCATTACCAGTGAGATCCTTCATGTATGTCTAGGCTCTCTGTGACAGCACACACTGCCCTTGAAATGGTCGCAGTGAAGGCGGGGGTGGGGTGTACAGCATGTCACACATTTTCTTCTGGAATGTGCCTTTGCAAAGGAAGTCTGGAAAGAGATGCAATGGTTCTTGCAGAGGTGATGCAGGACTCTATGCTCGACAGGCTGTTCCTGGGACGCACACCCAGACAAACATCAACTGCGCCTAGAAAATCATCAATTTGGTGAAAGACACTCTTTGGTGTGTTGCAGACGGGCACATTCCAAGGTCCAGGACTACATGCCAAGGGATGCACTAAAGCTTGGGGCAGTAGCCGCCAAGGTGCAGTGAGGAAAAACCACTGTAAGGTCTTTCTGCCAAAGTTCAATGGGAATCCATTCAGTTATCGGATCCTCCCGATGCCTCAAATATATGTAAATATAATCCAGAACAAGTAAGAAATGCCTTTGATTTGTTTGTTTGGATACAGTCAAACTCCAATGTTTGTTTGTTTCTTCATATGCCATTGCACAGAACCAAACTGCTTTGGTGACTATGTATACAAAGATATTTTTATGAATAAAGTATAGTTTTGAAATTGAAATAAAAGAATTTCCACATCCTTCAGGGAAGTCCTGTGTTAGAGACCTGCTGTTCAATCTGATTGGCTGGCTGCTCTGTTGCCCCAGCAGTGTCAGGTTTGAGTGGTGTGGGCTGCTTTTGTGGAAACTGGGCTACTCATGAAGCAGATGTTATTCAGCGTGACTTAAAGGCAAATTCTAGGGTCCTGGTGGGCCCCACTGGCAGACCCCAATGAGGGGTGGCTGGAATTGGTTGCAGAGGCACAGAGGGACGATTAAAAGGGAACAAGACCATTGAGGTGACAAGGCTGTGGAGATGTCTCTGATTGCCAGAGGGGACCCCAAAAAGGTTGCTGTCCACATGAATCCCCGCCATGGCTGGCTTTAGTCCATACAATAAAAGATGCTGGGCTACTGACCTAGGGAATACTTTGCCAGTTGTAGGCAAAATAGCACAATGAAGAACACAAATGGACAACAACTGGGCTTAATGACTGCTGATGTCACCCCAACCTCTGTAAAATGGGAGACATGTTCAGGTCGATGGGAAACTGGTAGGAAGGTCAAACGCTGCATTTTAGAGGCAGCTGCCTTGCAACACACTGGCAGGGAGCCCTAAAACCTAGCCCAATTTATCTTTTTTGAGCCAGTCCACAGATTGTGCCAAAACACAAAACTGTAGGGGCTAAAAATCTGAAAACAAAAGCCTGGAAAGCACTGGAACAACAGCAGGTCAGATAGCTTCTCCAAAGAGAAAATGAAAGTAATATTTTAAATCAATGACCTTTCACCAGTTGTTTCATTCCTCACAGATTTGGCCCAACCTACTGAGTGTTACTTGTATTCTCTTTTTCTTCCACATGGTATACCGGTTGGTGTGTAGTCATGGTTTAAATCCAACATTGGTGCTATTCAGTAAGTTTGCCTGTTTAAAAATATATTTCCTCACAGTTCCTAAAATTCTCACAGATGTGTTTATTAATTCACAGATATTCTCAGTGTGAATTTGCAGTTTGTTTTAACCACACTGTGCGCATAGTCATATGAACTGAGAGCACAGGAGACTATTTGGCCTCTCATATCTATGCTGAGTTGCTAAGAGTGGCTTTGAAATGAATATTAGTGACTTGGGCTTATAAAGGAGTATAAAGTAAAAGCAAAATCAAGCCAGGGATTTTATCCATCATTGCTTAGTATGTTGTGGGCAATTTACACCTCAGGAAAGATGCAAATACTTTTGAAAATATTTGGTGGAGGTGTACCAGGAGAAGATCAAAGAAGAGAATGAGAAGTTGGAAAGAGCACATATGCTTAGCCCCATATCCCCTCTTTTCTGCAATCCTGCGTTTTCCAAAGTATCTGTCTAAATCATTTCTAAAATTATTTTTGAAATCGGCTCACATGGACTGATCCAGATACTGATAAGAGTGAAAAAATATCCTCTTCATTTCTCCCTAGATCTTTACCCAAGCATTTTGAATCCATAACTTCGAATTAATGCCCATTCATGAGGGAACGTTTATCCTCCAAATTTCTTATGAAAACACCTTTTCATCTTGACAACTTCATTAGGTCACTTGTTAGCCAATTCTTCCCATTTCTTCTTATACCGATTGTTCCTTATCCTTAAAATGATTCTGATAAACATCCTCTAAGCCTTTCTGAGGCGATTACATATTTCTTGAAGGGTAAATGGTCCATAACATTGTAGTCAAGGCCCAAACAATGATTTATATATAAAGTTTACCATGACCTTGTTTTATTTTATATTTCTCTGTTCGTAAACCCAAGTAACTAACACATTAAAAACACCTTATGAAATCACCTTTCTATCTTTAAAGATTTGCAAATGCCAGGTGTCTCTGCTCATCCACACTTTCACTATTATGCTATTTCTAGTACATTATTTTTCCATATTCATTCCTCCCCAGGTGCATCACTTCACAATACTCCTTATTGAACATCATCTGCTAACCTATCTTCAATTAACTATCTTCATATAACTAAACCCTTCACGATCATCTACTTTATGAAGTTTTATATCATCTGCAAACTTTATAATGCTGCACCCTGCATCCAGGTCTAGTTTGTTCATGTAAGTTGAAAATTGTAATATAACCAAAACTGACCCTTAGAGAACATGACTACAAAACATTTCTCAGCGTCAAAAATTTTCATCCCTCACCACTGTTTTCTTTTTGTCACTCAGCCAATTCTGTATTTATGTGAATTCTTGAACTTCATCCCAAAGGCTTCTATTCCTCTTAGTGAGCATCTTGTGTGGCACTTTGTCAAATATCTTTCAAAAGTCCATCTATCTAGTATATGATCTTGATCAGTCAGCACAAATAATTTAAATAATTCAATCAATTTTGTCAAGCATAATTTACCTTTAATAAGTCCATGCTGGCTCACCTTGATTAAGCCTCACTTGTCCAAACAGAAGTTAATTCTGTCCAGATAATTTTTTCAAATAAATTTCCCACAATTGATACTAGGCTGATTCGCCCTATGTTCCCTGAGTTTTGCTGTCTCCACTATTTATAATAATGGCAGAACATCAGCACCCCTTCAGCCCTCTGGCATTGCTCCTATTTCCAACCAGAATTGAAAGACTGACCAAGATGTAATCAACTGACCTAATGTCTCATGTGGCTGAATGTCATATTTTGTCACAGAACACTCGTTTAGAGCATCTTGGAATGCTTTACTTCATTAAAAGCACTATACAAACATAACTAGTCTTTGCTCTATTTTGCACAATATGGGCACTGGTACCTCAAGTAATACCACTCATTCTTTCTCTTTATTTCTGTATGTTTAATTATAAGGGCCATCACAGTATTGTGGGGAGGGTGGGGGTGATTTAAAAATATTGGAAAATGTATGCACAATTGTGCCTTGTATGGGGAATTACCTTTTCCAATTCACTTATTTTCATAATTGATACAAGTAGCATGGAGACAAGGAACTCTCACTGGAGTAGCGACGAAAGTAGAGTTAATAGTAAAAATGTTCATAATCGTAGCCACAATCAAACTCAACAAAACAGCAAAAATGATAAACTAATCTTAAATCATGGATATAGCTTCAATCAAAATTCTGTTATGGAAGTCATACATAGCAAAATCAAAAATAGAATGATAAAGTAGCAAATAACATTAAAACTTACGCTGCCTTTTTACTGTAACGGTGTATATTGTATCAGGCAACTTTGGCTTTACTTTGAAACAGGTTTTACGATCACAGCATTCAATATTTATGATGAATTCAGTAGCTGGTGAATTTGAAGATGATATAACTTGATAGTAATAATGTTTAATGTAGTCTTTCAGTGTGTCTGGTTCATGAAAATAACTTTCTTCTGAAGGGTAGGTAAGCTCCATTAAGTCGGAACTCTTTACATTCACCTATGAAGAAAAAATATTAGCTTTAAGATTAGATCATGCTTTTGTTGAAACTTCACCAATAGGCAGAACAAACTCTCCAAATCTAAAGTAGTAGTTGTAACACAATGCAGAATTAAAATAATCAAATAAAGGGTACGTTGTGTTTTCCAAGATACGCAAACAAAAAACCCAGCAATTAGCTACTTCCGGCCTTGATTTCAGTTTTCATTGATTACATACAAACATACAAACTAAGAACAGCAGTAAACCATTCAGCCCCTCAAATCTGTTCTGTCAATTGATAAGATCATTCCTGATCTAATTGTAATCTCAAATCCACGTACCTGCTCACCCTGATAATATTTCAACCTCTTGCTTAATAAGAAGCCATCTACCTCTGCCTTAAATATTTTTAAGAATTCTGTTTCCATGGCCTTTTCAAGGAGAGAGTTCCAAAGACTCATGACACTCTGAGAAAACATTTTTGCCTCATTTCTGTTTTAAAGAGACAAACCCTGATTTTTAAACAATGATTGCAATTTCGAGATTATATCACAAGAGGAAACATCCTCTCCACATCTACACTATCAGGACTGTTCAGGAATTTATATGTTTCAATCAAGTCATCTCTTACTCTTCTAAACTCCAGTGGATACAAGCCTAGCCTGTCTAACTTTCCTCATAAGATTGATAATCTGTCTATTCCAGGTATGAGTCTAGTAAACCTTCTGAGAACTGCCTCGGATGCATTTACATTGTTCCTTAAATGAGGTGACCAGTTCTGTGCACAGTACTCTAGATATGGTCTCACTAGTGTCCTGTATAACACATGCATAACCTCCATAGTTTTGAATTCAATTCCTCTTCAGATAAATTATATTATATTAGTTCTCCTAATTATTTACTGTTCTTGCACACTATACAAAGATAAAGCTGAAGCATTCGCAAGAATCTTCAGCTAGAAGTGCCCAGTGGATGATCTAGGCCGGTCCCCTCCAATGGTCCCAGCATCTCAGATGCCAATCTTCAGTCAATTTGATTCATTCCAAATCATATCAAGAAACGGTTGGAGGCATTGCATACTGCAAAGGCTGCGGGCCCTGACAACATTCCAGCAATAGTACTGAAGACTTGTGTTCCAGAACTTGCAATGTCCCTAGCCAAACTGTTCCAGGAAGCTACACCAATGACCATAAAACATCTACTTACAATGTAGAAACTGCCCAGATATGTCCTATACAGAAAAAGCAGGACAAATCCACCCCATAAGTCTACTTCAATCACCAATAAAGTGATGGAACAGTGTTATCAAGCAGCACTTGCTTAGTAATAACGTGTTGACTGTTCTGCCAGGGCCTCTCAGGTCCTTACCTCATTATAGTCTTGGATCAAATATCGACAAACAAGCTGAATTCCAGAGATGAGAGTAATTGCCCTTGACATTAAGGCTGCATTTGACCGAGTGTGGCATCAAACAGCCTTAGCCAAACTGGAGTCAATGGGAATCAGGGAGGTTGGCAGTTCTGACAAAGGGTCACTGAACTTAAAACATTAATTCGTTTTTCTTTCAACAGATGCTGCCAGACCTGCTGAGATTCTCCAGCAGTTTCTCTCTTTGTTTCAGATCACCAGCATCCACATTTTGTTTTATTTCAGAGTAGTTTGTTGGTTGTAGGATGGCCATAGTCCATAGAGACTCAATCACTGCCATAATTTATAATAATATCTGGTGCATTGAAGAACACCTGATTGTAAATTCTATTGGGATGTTTTATAGCTCCAAAGACAGGCTATAAGTGTATGCACATTATGATAGTGTAACATTGAGATACATAGTGTGATGGATGTATGCACTCTCCTGATGACCCTCTTCACTTGTTTCACATTCGTTAACAGAATTAAGCTCACAAATACAGCATTGCTTAATCATTTTGCTGTATTCACAGGAATACACTTGCATATCTAAATTAGGAATTTTCATACACTGCAACATAATGTATTGTCAGAACTTTAAAGAGTTCAACTGCGGTCAACTATGGCAACAAATAGGTCTTGTTGTGATACTTTTCTCTTCTGATTTATAAACAAATTAAATGGTTCAAGGGTTTTGTCACCCCTATCAAACCTGCATTTTGCTACTATCTACATTTGTTAGTAATGTGTAACTGATACAGCTCATAACGCGGCACAATCAACAACTCTAAAGTGTATTTTTAAGTGTACTTATTTGTATGGATTTGGTGCTATTTCACCAATATTTGTAGTTAATATATGTGAAATAAGTAGGTAACAAACAAAAGACTAAAAAGAAATGTTGCTACATTTGATGAGCATTAGTTTACAAACAATGTGACTATTTAACATAGTTATAAAAATTGTCAGGCTAAGCCAATTTTCCAGGAGATTATTAAACATGTCATTGCACAGAACGATTTCAACATAAGAGGTGCAGTCAAGCCGTTATGTCTGTGCTGGCTCACTGACTTAAAACAATTCACCTCATGCAATTCTTCCTTGTTCTTCCTGCAACCTTGCAAATTCATCCTTTAAAAATAATAATTAAATTCCCTCTTGAATGTATTGATTGAACCTGCCTCCACCAACCTCTTACCGTTGCATTTCAGATCATAAACACTCATTGACTGAAAATCCTCTGTAGAAACGTCAGATCCTTTAAGTATTCCTGTGAGACCAAAATACCTACCAACTAATGGAAGACCCTGGCCCATGACCAATTAAAATAGAGATGTAGCAAACATATCAAGAGTTCTCATCAGGAACATGCAGAGGTGAAGTTAAGCTGCTGGAGGAGTCACACAAACCTCCAAAAAGAGATAGGCCTGACCCTTCAAGCACCAACTACCCTGCACATGACAGAGTCTGCAGTTTGGGCATTAGATTCTGAGATGACTGATAAATCTATCAAACTGGAGTAGAAGCAAGTTACTCTCAAATTCAAGGAGATGCCTAAACAGAATCTTTTATACACAAATACATGTATTTTAGTGATTGGAGTACATTGTTATTCAAATAATTTGCTGCTATAAGTTATCACATCGGAAAAGATAAAAAAGATGCTAAGTTCATCATTATTTGACTGAAAAATCCAGGTATCTTTCAACCACAAATGATCTTTTTGATTCCATATTCTATAACTATACTATTCTATAGCTCTAAAACACTTGTTTCTTTTTCTTTTTATTCATTCACAGGATGAGAGCATCACTGGCTAGGGCAGCATTTATTGCCCATTCTTAACTGCCAAGAGGGCAGTTAGAGTCAACCACATTGCTGTGGGCCTGGTGGGCCAGATCAAGTAAGGATGGCAGTTTCCTTCCCTAAAGGATATTAGTCAATCGGCAGTGGATTCATGGTCATCCTTAGATTCTTAATTCCAGATTTTTAGTGAATTCAAATTCCACCATCTTCTATGGTGGGATTTGAACCGGGATCCCCAGAACATTACCTGGGTCTCCAGATTAGCAGTCCAATGATAATACTACTAGGCCATTGCCTCCCCATTGTAAACAGTAAAACAAAAACACTGAATCAAAGTTCTTTTGATTGTTGGGACATCTTAAAGGGTGTTGAAGCATTCAGGTCTTGTAACAAGATTAACTGTAAGTCAATCACACTCAGGAATGATATGTTGGGTGTTGCAATTGCCTTCAGAAATAATATAGTATAAATGAAATATTTGTACTAAACAGTCCAGCGATTGTTGTAATTTGTCATGCTCAGAAAACATAGGTTCTTCAAGGTCATTCAGTGAATGGGAAACCCCTCGACTAATTTTTAAAGTTCCACAAATTATGAAAGATTTGGAGTAAGCAAACTGTGAAGGACTCTACTATTTGATTAATTGGTAATAAAAAAGTGAAGGATCATCACTGAAAGAATGAAGGAGACTGGAGATTTTATATGGGTCATTGCAGTTCGGAGTATTTTACCAGCCATTAATGAGAAAAAAGTTATGTATTATGTAATTGAACAAGTATTTGAAAACATAAAAAATGAAAATTTTTGCAGCAAACAGAAGTTCTTATAAAAAACAATTATGAGCTGCAGTATAATTATCTATCAGTGGGGTATGGTGGCTTAATGGTTATGGTACTGAATGGATAACCCAGAGGGTTGGATTCTGGATTTATATATTCAGAAATACGAGTTGAAATCTCACCACACTGGTCAGAGAATTTCAGCACTAACCATTGAATAAAAATCATCTGAAATAGACATGAGTGTCAGCAGCTGGACTGATAGTAAATCCCATCTGGTTCTCAGCAATCTAGCTGTTGACACTAGAACTAAGGATGTATCCGGTGTAGATGGATAGCAGCACTTCAAGAAGACAGCTCACCACCACTTTCGCAAGGCAAATTAGGAATGTATAACTAATGCTGGCCTTGTTATCACCACTCACATCCCATGAAAGAATTTTAATGCCCTTTGGGATTGGTTTTTTAAAAAATCTTTTATTACTTTGATCTGGCCTATTTGTTATGCCAGACCCACATCAATGTGGTCAATTAACCACCATTTGAAATGGCCTAGCCAACAACTCAATTTTGTTTCAAAAGGTTGATACCTACTACCTTTGTAACTGCATTTAGGGTTGGGAAATAACTGCTGCTCTTACCTTGAAGAGAAGTGGGAAAGATCCTTAGTACCAGTGGCACGGTGGTTCAGTGATTAGCACTGCTGCCTCACAGCGCCAGGGACCCAGATTCGATTCCACCCTTGGTCGACTGTCTGTGTGGAGTTTGCATCTTCTCCCCATGTCTGCGTGGGTTTCCTCCGGGTACACCGGTTTCCTCCCACCAGTCTAAAGATGTGAGGGCTAAGTGGATTGGCCATTCTAAATTGCCCATAGTGTTCAGGGATGTGTAGATTAGGTGGGTTATAGGGGATGGGTCTAGATGGGATGCTCTGAGGGTCAGTGTGGACTTGTTGGGCCGAAGGGCCTGTTTCCACACTGTAGGGATTCTATGATCAATACATCAGAATTTCACTTTAGAAATACAGTCACTGTCTCCTAAAATTGATCTATTTTTCTGTTGTGCCCTTGTACATTGTTATTATTTTTAAATTCATGTTAACATTGGCTATGCCTTTTTCCTTACCTCAAGATGAGGCAAGTACTCAGTTATTTTGTAATTCAAGGCTTATGAGAACCACATACTGCATGTTACCTTGACTGTTGACCAAGAATCCATGAAGTTAGGCTTTTGAGAAAATGCATAACAAAAATCCTTCTCTCCATTTTCATAGTATACTTCATCTTCGTTTACCATTTCTGCAATAAAAAACAGAGTGCAGTAACAACTTCACATTATTTTATCACTCCTTTTTGAAATTTTAAGGTTGAAATGCTGTGACAAAATATTTATCTTTCTTCTAACATAAAATGCCTATAATATTAAACAATAATATGACTGAAGACATTTTCCCTAATTAAATTTGAAGCAGGCCAGATCATTTACTTTGCATTTAATATATAATTAAAGTTTAAAAATTCTAAGCTCTAACAGATTTCTAACTACTGCCACTTAACAGTATCTCCCAATTATTGCATTGTGGTCAAAAACGAAAGTTGCTGGAAAAGCTCAGCAGGTCTGGCAGTATCTGTGAAGAAATCAGTTAATGTTTCCGTCCGGTGACCCTCGCATTGTTGTTTTGTATTTTATACCTTGTAGGCCTATTTACATTATTTCCCAGTTGTGCGCCTCCCTTGCTAGGGGGATGCTGTGCTGTGAACTTTGATCTGAGTTTTGTTTTCATCGGGACTGTGGAACTTTCACTGTAGCTTTCTGCTTCCACTGGCATGCACGGAAACCAGTTATATTTTCACGTGAGTGGCACTTCACTTTTCAGTTATACTTAGTACCGTTCCTGATATACTCTTCTACACCACTCAATGAAACCATTACTTTGACCCTCGACTACATTCTAGAAATATCCCATATCTTTCTGTTAAGTAATGATGCCTCTAATTTACCTTTGCCATTGACACTTGCTTATTGTAATACATCGTGCATTAGCTACATGGTTTACTTTCGGCTTTCCGCTCTAATTTTCATTCAGCGTCCCACTTGCCTCCCACATCCCCAAGTTAAGATATATTGAAACGTTACTGGTGTACTCCATTCCTAAGCCACTGAACAGTATCTAGGATGTAAGTTACGCAAGGGATATGGGGGATGGGGTGGAGAGTAAGCGCTGTACTTAAGTCATTGGAATCTGCCAGAATGGGCCACCCTATCCCTGTCACCATGCACACGTTTTGTAGATCATACACACTGCTGCTACGGAGCATCGGTGTAGAAGGAGTGGATATTTGTGGATGTCGACCCAATCAAATAGGCTGCTTTGTTCTGGATGGTGTCAAGCTTCTTGAACGTTGTTGGAGATACACCTATCCAAGAAAGTGGGGAGTATTCCAGCACGCTGCTGACTTGTGCCTTGTACATGATGGATTTCTGAGGAAGGGTCTAGGCCCGAAACGTCAGCTTTCTTACTCCTCTGATGCTGCTTGACCTGCTGTGTTATCTCTTTGATTTGCAAATTGGCTTTTTAATAATTATCTGAAGATCGAGCCTGAGCGCGGGCACATTGAGATAACAAAATACATCCGGTCGTGGCCAAAATGAATTTCTACGGCCATGAAATAAACGTTGCATATGGAGAGGGTGGTGAAGGAGACAAATCGTTGCTCTTCTCAAACCTGTGTACCTGGGAATACGCCAGTCCACAACGAGGGTGGCTGCGGACTGTCCCCTACCGCCCAAGTTTGCAGCTCCTCCTGGTGAGGGTGCTGCAGTTCGGCCAGGATTCGCCACCTTTAGACTGAAAGTTTAAGCCGCGCTGCGATACCTTGGGGCACTGCCGCCGCTCCGTTCACCAGAGCGACCGACGTGCAGAGCCAGGCACCCAGGACGCTGCCGAGCCTCCACAGCCACATTACGCCTCCCTGTCGCTATTCCCGGGAACGTCGGCCACAACAACCCAGGCTCCTCTTTCCCCCCGCTCACATATACTTTCGTTTTCTCACCGCCTCTCTGGAGCCGCATGCGCCTTGTCTTTGGACAAATCTGCCTGGTTACTGGCTGAGATTTTGCTTCTGTTTTGTGGACAATCCCAACAGTGCAGGAAAATCTTAAAGAGCTTCTTGGAGTTTAAGGTTAGTCGTCAGGAGACAGCTTGTTCAAGCTAGCAGGTAAATCATTCAAAATTTCTTTTTAAAAGCCTTTACACCTTTATTAATCATTAAAATGACCGAAGATTTGGGGGGGAAAACAAGCTTTGTCCGCACAGAGTGAGCGGAAACCTGTATTCATATCATCAAACATACCGGAATATAAAAAAAACTAAAGTTGGCAACCCGAAACTTCAGTCGGTAAGTTGCTGGGGCAAATTGTTGGTGGTTTGTGGGGGGTGGGGGGGAGGGGATGCAGTTGGACTTCAACCCATTGGTCATTGAAAAGCAGGGCAATCACTCATGGGTGTAATTATTTTATTATTTTGATTGGCAAACTAACTAGCGAAATGTCACAGGGATGAGTGATTCATGGCTAGATTAATGACATGGGTGAAGGGATCAATGGCATGGAGAGGAGGCTACAAAGCATGTTGAGGGTGTGAGTGGGCAAACTCAAAGGCAGATGGCATACAATATGGGATATAGTGAGGTTATTCCAGTTTGGAATAAGAGATAAAGCAGAATTGCATTTGAATGGGGAGTAGCCACAGAATTCTGCAGTACAGGGGGACCCGGTGTGTACATTTTCATTAAAAAGTCAGCATGTAGATAGAGCAAATATTTACAAAGGCAAACAGAATATTTGCCTTTATTGCATAGATAATGGAGTATAGCAGTAGGGAACACTTGCTATAAACAAAAACTGAAGTTGCCTGAGTAACTCAGCAGGGCTGGTGGCATCTGTGGAGAGAAAACAGATTTTAAAAATTAATTCACGAGATCTGAGTGTCACTGGCCGGCCAGCATTTATTGCATGTGCCTACCTGCCTTTGAGAAGGTGGTGGTGAGCTTCCTTCTTGAACTGCTGCAGTCTATATGGTGCAAGTTAGGGAGGGCATTCCAGGATTTTGACCCAAAATAGTGAAGAAATGGTGATTATATTTCTAAGTCAAGGTGATGAGTGGCTTGGAGGGGAACTTACAGGTGATGTATCTGCTGCCCTTGTCCTTCTAGATGGAAGTGGTTAGACAGGTTTGGAAGTTGCCGTCTTTAAAGACTTTGGCAAATTTCTGCAGTGCATCATCGTAGAATCATAGAATCCTACAGTGCAGAAGAAGGCTGTTCGGCCCATCAAGTCTCCAAAGAGCATCCCACCCAGACTCACTTTCCCTCCACCCTATCCCTGTCACCATGCACACATTTTGCACACATTGCGTAGATCATACACACTGCTGCTACTGAGCATCGGTTTAGAGGGAGTGGATATTTGTGGATGTGGTCCCAATCAAGTAGGCTGCTTTGTTCTGGATGGTGTCAAGCTTCTTGAATGTTGTTGGAGATACACCCATCCAGGAAAGTGGGGAGTATTCCAGCACGCTCCTGACTTATGCCTTGTACATGGTGGATCAACTTTGAGGAGTCAGGAGGTGAGTTGCTCTTCACAGTATTTCCTAGGCTTTGACCTGCTCTTGTACCAACTGTGTTTATGTGGTGAGTCAGTTGAGTTTCTGGTCAATGGTAACCTCAAGGATGTTGATAGTGGTGGATTCAGTTATCGTAGCACCTTTAAATGTCAAGGGGTGGTAGTTAGATTGTCTCTTGGAGATGGTCTTTGCCTCCTATTTATATGGAGCAAATGTTACTTGCCATGTGTCAGCCCAAGCCTGGATATTGTCCAGATCTTGTTGCATTTGAACATGGACTGCTTCAGAACTGAAGAGTTGCGAATGGTGCTGAACATTGTGCAAACAGCGAACATCTCCACTTCTGACCTTATGAAAGAGGGAAGGTCATTGATGAAACAGCTCAAGGAGCTGGTTAGGCTGAGGACACTATACTGCAGTAATTCCTGCAGACATGTCCTGAAACTGAAATAACTGACACCCAACAACCATAACCATCTTTCCGTGTGCCAGGTATGAGACTAACCAGCAGAGAGTTTGCCACTGATACCCATTGATTCTAGTTTTACTAGGGCTCCTTGATGCCACGTTCAGCTGAATGTGGTCTTGATGTCAACTGCTGTCACTCTCATCTCACCTCTGAAATTCAGCTCTTTTGTCGATGTTTGAATCAAGGCTGTAATGAGGTCAGGAGCTGAGTGGCCCTGGAGGAACCCAAACTGGGTGTTGCTGAGCAAGTGCTGCTTGATAGCACTGATGACACCTTCCGTCACTTTATGAACAATTGAGAGTTGACTAATGGGGCAGTAATTGGCTTGGTTGGATTTGTCCTGAATTTTGTGTACAGGACATATCTGGACAATTTTCCAGATTGTTGGGTAGGTGCCAATGGTGTAATTGTACTGGAAGAGCTTAGCTTGGAGAACAGCAAGTTCTGGACCACAAACTTTCAGTATTATTGCCAGAATGTTATCAGTGCCCATAGCCTTTGCATTATCCACTGCCTCCAGTTGTTTTTTAATATCATGTGGAGTGAATCAAATTGGCTGTAGTCTGATCTCTATGCTACTGGGGATCACTGGAGGAGGTTGAGATCGATCATCCACTTGGTATGTCTGGCTGAACATGGCTGCAAAAGCTTCAGCCTTATCTTTTGCATTGATATGTTGGGCTCTTCCATCATTGAGGGTGGGGATATTTGTGGAGCATCTTCCTCCACTGAGTTGTTTAATTGTCCACCACAATTCACGACTGGATGTAGCAGGACTGCAGAGCTTACACCTGATCTGTTGCTTGTAGGATCACTTAGCTCTGTCTATCACTTGCTGCTTATGCTGTTTGGCATGCAAGTAGTCCTGTTTGGTAGTTCCACCAGGTTCATCTTTAGTATGCCAACTGCTGCTCCTTGCATGCCCTTCTACACTCTCCATTGAACCAGGGTGATCCCTTAGCTTGATGGTTATTGTTGAGAGGGGCCATGAGGGCTGGGCCATGAGGTTGCAGATTGTTCTGGTGTACAATTCTGCTGCTGTTGATGGCCCACACTGCCTGATGGTACCCAGTCATGAGTTGCTAAATTTGTTCGAAATACATCCCAATTAACAGCGTGATAGTGCCACACAGGATGGAGATATTCCTGATGTAAAGGCAGGCCTTCAGCCCTAAAGGACTGTGCAGTGGTCACTCTTAATGATACTGTCATAGACAGATGGCTCTGCAGCAGACAGATTGGTAAGGATGAGGTTAAGTATGTTTTTCCCTTTTGTTGGTTCCCTCACCACCTGCTGCAGACCCAGTTTGGCAGCTATAATCTGTAGGAGCCAGCCAGCTCGATCAGTTGTGCTGCTGCTGAGCCACCCTTAGTTGTGGACATTGAAATCCATTATTAGTACGTTTTATGCTCTTGCCACCATCAGTTCTTCCTTCAGATGTTGTTCAACATGAACAAGCACTGATTCATTAGCTGAGGGAGGATGGTACATGGTAATCAAGGAGGTTTCCTTGCCCATATTTAACCTGAAGCTATGAGACTTCATGGGGTCCGAAGTCAATGTTGAGGATTCCCAGGGCAACTCCCTCCTATCTGTATACCACTGTTCCACCACCACTGCTGGACCTGACCTGTCTGTGGGACAGGACATATCCGAGGATGGTGATAGTGTTATCTGGGACATTTTTTGTAAGGTATGCTTCTGTGAGTATGGCTATGTCAGGCTGTTGCTTGCCTAGTCTGTGAGACAGCTCTCCCAATTTTGGCACTAACCCCCAGGTGTTAGTAAGGAGGGCAGTTGAGCGTCAACCACATTGCTGTGGGTGTGGAGTCACCTGTAGACCAGACAAGGTGACGATGGCTGGTTTCCTTCTCTGAATAAGCCAGGTGGGTTTTTTTTGACAATGGTTTCATGGTCATCAGTAGATTTTTTTTTTCTAATTCCAGACCTTTTTTGTTTTTTGAATTTAAGTTCCACCATCTGCCATGATGGGATTCAAACCTGGGTCCCTAGAACATTAGTTGAGTTTCTGATTAATAGTCTAGTGATAATAGCCACGAGTCTGTCACCTCCTCTGTTCATATTTCAAGTCCAGTAACCTCCTTTAGAGCTGAAGAATTCTTGCTACAACTGTACTGGGCACTGGTGGCATCAGACCCAGGTAATGTGGGCAATTTTGGTCACTTTCCTTGAGGAGGAACATACTTGCTTTGCAAGCAGTTCAGAGAAATTTCACCTAAGTAGATTTTGGGGCAGGGATGTTGCCTTGAGAGAAAAGACAGAGCAGATTTGGCATATACCCATTGGAGTTTAGAATGTAAGGTGACCTTCTTGTACAAGACAAGATACTGAATAACTGTTCCCACGTAGGGCAAGGACAATGTTTTCAGTTATAGGGATTCTAGAACCAGGGAGCACAATTTTAATAACATTTAAGACACATATTTAAGGAGAAATTTCTTATCTCAGGGGGTCATTCGTCTACATCATCTTCTTCCCCACCACACACTATTTATTTTTTAATCCGATATCTGTTCAGATATGCTATGACAACCTCTGCAGCAGGTGGGAATTGAGCCCAAACCTCCTAGCTCAGAAGTCGGGACACTAATATAGCACCATGAGAGGCCCCAGCATGCATTGGATGCTGGGTCATTGAATATATTCAGGCTGAGTTAGACAAATGTTCAATTCTCAAGGAAATTAATGCTTATTTGGGCAGGCAGAAAAATTAGGGCACAATCTGATCCTCCACAATCTTATTGAATGGGAGAACTGACTCAAGGGATCGACTGGTTTGCTACTGTACCTATTTGTTATGTTCGTATGGCCATTTACCATTATTAGTTCACTTGTTGGACAAGCCTTCTGCATTTCCACACTGAAACATTTGTGGT